CTATTTCAAACTTAAAGTCAAGTTCTGCTAGGCCGATTGAACTGAAACTTTGTAGGAATGATCAGCTCATGGTCCTGACAAAGTGTTGTTATTTATCAGAAATACAATTTGGCTGCCATGGCCGCTATTTTGCTACTAAATTCTAATAGGCCGATCTCACTTAAAATTGGTCTAGGAATGATCAGCTCATGGTCCTGACAAAGTTAAGTTAACATTATACTATTTTTTACTCAAATTGGTACATATTTCAACAAACAAACAAAAATACTGTAGACTCAGGTGACCGTTAAGGCCCATGGGCCTCTTGTTAAATTTACAGTTATACTGAGTCAGTTTGATGTATTCGACACTACTGAACAGTGGGTTAATTGTTTTTTGGAGGTGGGAGAAAGTCAAGTCAAAGTTTTATTCCAAAAATAAATATGAGGGTTCAAATGTCACATAAAACAACAACCATATGCATCCTCACAAACTCTGTCAGAAGGGCCTTAATGTAATAAAGTTGTGGGCTTTCATCTAATAATGCCCTGTCAGAGTATAGAACAAATAAAACCAATGTGAAAAAAAGATGTACCCGTGTAAACAGTATTCAGTAAAAAATGATTGCTAAATAATTAATGGTCACTCTCAAATTGTTGGACAGTACTGTGTTGACGGTAATACATAGCATATTTCAGCAACACTTTCGAGGTGTTCACATCTGTGTTTGCCAGTCTGCATGGTTGTAATCAGACTGAGAACACATGGATTTTGTTTGCTGTTCAGGGTATCAGTGCGTTTTTGGTGCCCAAGCCGACGCCCGGCCTGTCCCTTGGGAAGAAGGAAGACAAACTCGGCATCAAAGCCACCTCTACATGCTATCTCATTTTTGAGGACTGCAGGATACCAAAGGAATACCTGCTCGGGGAACCCGGCATGGGCTTCAAAATTGCTATGGTAGGGAAATAAATAAAAAAAAAGGTATTGTGTACTGCATGTACATTTTACTTTGAACTTATCACTTTATTCTTTTTTTAAATGTAAAATGAAAAAAAGAAACGACAAAAATAACAGCAAACAAATCTATAGCAAAATCTGTTTCTATATTCCTGGTCAAGCTGATACAAATGATTTTTCTGCCCCAATAAGTTATGTGTTAAAATGCATATTAATTTGGAACAGGTAACAGTACAAAATGGGAAAGAATAAAGGTAACATCCGTGTTCATCTATTATTATGAAAATTATTTACATTATTTTTATAATACATAAAAAAAGTTGAGCAGATCAATTATATTGTTAAAAAGAAAATAAATATTTTAGGTTTTGTATAAAACTGGATAAAAAACCAAGGTGGTTTTAAATTTCATTCAGTCAGTGGATATCTGTCGTGCAAAGTCGTATTTGTGTTGTTATAAACCTCTAAATGAGTAACGGTACCGTTACGCTAAAATAGCTTGGGGAGAACACAGCTGTATTTTGAAATTTACGGCAGTATAAAACTCAAAATCCAATACAGTTATCCCTGTTCTGATTCATATAAATAAAAAAACACTAAAAAAAAATACAATATGAAGATTGTTTTAAGTGTTTTCTTCAAAATCAGGAACACTCTGCCATGGATTAGGGAAGTCAGGAACATTCAAATTGAGGTGGAATTACATTGAACTTTCAGGGTCAAGCTATAAGATGACATCATTAATAATCAATTTCATGACATGCTTAGGTCAGTCAGGGTCATTGATGTCATTATGTCTCTTGTTGACACGAATGTTAGCTTGCAAGGGGGGGGGGGGATCTTATTGGGGGCGGAAACCTGAGTACCCGGAGAAAACCCATCTGGTCAGGCAGGTGACTCCATACTTTTTCACGTCTGATCAGGGAATCCAACCCACTGCACTACCCATGAATCATTAACAATTATCGTCTTGGCTTCATATGGAAATGAGAAATTTGAGGGGAAAATTATTTTGATTTACAATCAAATGCTTTGATACATCTCAAATGATTTAGAATTCTCCCTTCTATAAAGCAGTTCCTCCCTCATCACCAGTTAAATAAGAAAGACATTACACCATTACATCACTTCAGGAATAAAATAGTGCAAGTTAAACGAATTGAACTAAATGTATATAAATTTAATGCTTCAACAACTGAAAATGTGAATTATTTTAAGAAGTTTAAAAAGATGTTTATTTAGAAATTTTTATTTTTTTATTTTATTTGTTTCTGTCTTTGCCATTACACTGTGTAAGTTTGATTAATGATGTCTGGATTTTCAAAGGTTTAAAATGTGAAATTGTCCTTAATTTTTGGATTTAATAGGACTTTATTTAATTTAAAATGTTTTGATTTTTCTTGTTTTTGCATATTTCCAGCAAACCCTAGATGCTGGAAGAATAGGAATAGCTTCGCAGGGTTTGGGAATTGCACAGGTAATGATGCATACATATATGTTTAATTTGTGTAATTTTCAGATATTTGTCTTTTTGGCCTATTTGAAATACGCATTTGTATGTCTTACACAATATCTCAACATTAAACTTTTATAAAAGTGTTCTGAAAATAAAAGAAGAATTACCTACCCAAATTCTTGAGAGCCAAAAGCAGAAAAAACATATAAACGTTGTTTTGCCTTAAATAAAGTCTGATGCATGTACTATTTTTTTTCAGGCAGCATTTGAATGTGCTGTTGACTATGCCCAGAAGAGGGAGGCATTTGGCCTACCTATATCACGCATGCAGACAATTCAGGTACTGTACATAAGGGAATAAATTCACAAAATCTTTTGAAGATTAATAGAAATTAGTTTGTTCTTTTCTGAATTTTATGAAAGCTATTTTTAAACATCTTTACCGTGTACATGTCAATTTATATCTTACTGTGTTGTTTTTGTTTACTTTGACAAATTCATGGATTGATCTGTGCGAGTTTTTCGAAAGTCATCATGCAGGAAAGAGTCTACAAGGAACTTTGTACTGCTGCCAAAAACTAGTACTGTTATTATGCATTGGGAACTCATTTCTACTGGCATGACTATAGCTTTAATAATTTCTGAAAAGGAAATTGTGCCTGCAAAATATCATGAAGATAATAAGTACCGGGTAACCAAATAAAAACACCAGCATTCTGAGTGTAAATATACAATGAGGCTGGACCAGGATTTTAACCCTGGACCCCTAATCAGTATACTGTTGCTTTAACCAAGTGATATATCTGGTCAATGGCAGTACCCTGGCCCAGTTGCGCTCTAGTTATAGCCAAAACAAAATTAAGGGGAAGTAACTGTTGGTACGAAAAACTAAAGTGGAGTTCTCTAGTGTCTTGCCTACAGTGGGACAGGGATTCTTAAGGAAAATGGGGTTTTAAAGGAAACGTAACAGATTGAGAAGCTCTACACCTGGCCTTGATCACAGATTGAGAAGCTCTACACCTGGCCTTGATCAGAGTTTGAGAAGCTGTACACCTGGCCTTGATCACAGATTGAGAAGCTCTACACCAGGCCTTGATCTATCACATATTTAGGTGACGGGTGTAAGATAGAAATCCTAATTAGATGTGTTTTTATTCTCAGTCCAAGTTGGCAGACATGGCCATGGCTATTGAGAGTGCCAGGCTGTTGACATGGAAGGCTGCTATGCTGAAGGATGATGGCAAACCATATATAAAGGTCTGATTATGTCACCTCTTATACCAGGTTATTTAACAATCACTTCAGATTACAATGTACATGATATCAAACAAATGATTAATCTCTTGGTAATCTGAATTCATGAAAACATTTCTTTAGTTTCCTTAAATTTTGTTCGGTATACTTGCTTGATATAACTGACATGATATGTGATTTTGTTTTCTTTCAATAAGCCTTTTTATTCTCTTATCAGATGTAATCCGACCTTGTACACAATAACCTTTTTTTGATGAATGCTATCTGAACTATTTTTTTTTTATAAATATCTGTTAATTGAATATTTTCAATTGTTTTTATACCTATGTAGATCACAAACATTTTCCAAGATATAGTACTAGTTGTAGAGAAAAGGATTAAATATGTGGTATTAAAATTGAAATTAATAGCAATAATTGAAAATTAATTTTCCTGAATATTTCACTGGGCAGAAGTATCCCTGTATACAGTAAACAATATGTGTTTGTATTTGTTTTGTAGGAAGCAGCCATGGCCAAACTAGCAGCATCTGAAGCAGCAACCAACGTCAGTCACCAGGTGAGAAAGGACAAATGCAACCAAGTAAAGCTGAAAACGTCTCTTCTTATTAGTCTAGCAAAATTATTTACGTTATCCAGATATATATATACAAGTTTGTTTAAAGGAAATCAGTAACTTTCAACAAGTGTGTATAGACCAGAACAATTAATGTAGTAATTATAGGTCAGACACAAAACAGTTTTCAGGGTTAACCTGCCTACCTTGGATTTGACTGTTGACGCTGTAGATTTTATGCCCAGTTTTACACGAGAACTGGTTAAGTAAGGATCAGTCTGTCTACTGTAGACACAATCTGAAAGCTTTTCAAAAAATGAAAATAAATGTCCCCCTTTCTCCCCTAATTTTAATTTCAGTATGTCAACCTAAAGAGATATAAAATTTTGTTTGGTCTGAGGATTGATGTTTGATTCAACAGAGTTTGTGCAACTGTGTATACTATTCGGCTGTAAGAAGAGTTTTGTGTGGTTCTTGGTTACTCAGCTGATGCATTTCTCAAGAAATACAGTAGTCTGGTTCGTAAAAAGTAGCAATATCAATTATATCATCGTCAGGTATACTGTTAAATGTAATATAACACAACTAGGAACCATTTTATTGAGGTTTACACTTCACTTAAATGTCCTTTTGGGAAATACATGCTTTTCCTGTTGTCAAATTGTTCTGTTTGCAAGTAAGTTATTTTGAATTGAGGACAAAAACATTTCAATGTTCAAAAGTTCAATGATTTACATGGTATAATGTACAATAAACTTGGATTGAATTAAAAAAAAAAAAGTAACTAGTAGTCAGGTATATAATGATATTTGGTACTGGTAGAACCAAATCTCAGTTGCAGCAGATTGACAGAGAAGACGGTTGATTTGAATTGCCTTGGTAGCACATAAGCATTTGGTCAGATTCGATAAAAGTTTTTTTGTTTTTTATTTATCTTTCACTGTAAACTATTCTATTGATGCCATATTGCTTGGGGACTAAGATCTGATTTTGTTGATGCTTTTTGTGGTCTGGGGATAAATGTCTTAATTAGTTGATGCCATCTAATGTTCGGGGACCAAAAGCTGGTTTTGTTGATGTCCTTAACTCATTCAACCCTAAAATTTCATAATGAATTATTCCAATCTTTAAATTGGAAGAGTTCAAATGTGTCTTCAGGGGTGAATGAGTTAAAAGAATTTTCAGTCGTTTTTTTTCAAAACAAGCTATTAGTTTAGATATTTTTGAAAAATAAACACCAGTTGTGTTACAGTATATATTATAATTTTGTTGTACCATTTAGCATTAGCACATTATAATTTTTTCCTTCAGTCGAAAACAAATTGCTTCTTTGCATTTAGTTCAACTTATTGACAAAAGTCTGATGTAGCAACCATCTTAAATTGCATCATAAACATACATTTTCTGTAAGTTGATTTGTACAACTGATAATTCATCAATAAATTTTAAACAATTGTAATGTTACAGGCTATTCAGGTGTTAGGAGGTATGGGGTTCACGACAGACATGCCCGCAGAGCGACACTACCGGGACGCACGCATCACCGAGATATATGAGGGCACCAGTGAGATTCAGCGCCTTGTGATAGCAGGACAACTCCTTAAGGAGTACCCCGCAAGTTAACATGGACAAAATGATAATGATAAAGTTGTACATGGACTAAACATTAACAACAGAAATTTACAGACAGATTGCCAACAACAGGGAATTATGGACAAAAAACGAGAGAATTTGGACAGAATGTATGCAACTTATCAAAATGATATAAAAGATTCAGTGTCTTATAAATCATTTACCAATTAACAGACAAGGTCCTTGTTTCAAAAACACTCAGTAAGTCCTTTTTTTTGCTTATGGGATATGATAATTTGGGGTAAAGAAAAAATTTAAGGAAATTTTCCTTAATTTCAGTAATGCTTTCGTATGGAAAAATCATTAAATTAAGGAATTTCCTAAAAGTAAGAAAATTTGTGAAACTGGGATCAGACACATGTTTAATGACCAAGTCCAAAACATTGCATCTTTGCAAAACACATTATATAGCTTGACAAATATGTTTGTTTGTGAAGTGCGAGAGTTGTAATTTATCGTGACAGTATTAACAGCAATTTGATATAAGTTTTTGATTTTAAGTTTTAGACTCAGTCTGATATATTTAATGGATGTTTATTGTTTTCTGCCCGCATTTACACATTTTCAATTAAACTATTATGCATTTAGTAGAGCAAATTTTCTCACTGGGTGAATTCTCTTAAAAGGTTGAGGGGGAAAGACTGGCATGGCGAAAATATTAAGGTATATCAAGAAAATAGTTAACTGATATTTGAACTTGAAACAACCACTATACTTCAATAATAGTGGGAGTGAGGAAGAGAGTACTCCGTTATTGCTAAAAGAACCTTGGTTTTTCTCTCTTTTTTTTCTCCACAAAAAAAAATAAGGTGGAATGGGTGATGTGAGGGATATAACTGACAGGATGTAATCCGAAAATGGGAGATGGTAATGATTTCAAGCGCGAAGATTGGTCTTTATCATGTTTTTAGGATGTTGTTAATTAATTACTGTGGATATGAAAATTTCTGTTGAATTATTTGTGATAGATTTGAAATGACACTATTCCTAACTGTTTTTTTAATTTGGAAAAGAATTTGTTACAATGTACTTAAGATATACAGGGTAATTTATGTGTCCTTTTTTCATGATTTTTGCTTTAAGATAGGGTTGTCAATGGTTATCCAGTTACTCAGTCGGAAAACCATGCACTGGGTTACCAAAATCAATAACCGAATAGTCGGACATCTATTTAACCCATGGGGAGCTCCTTGTTATAAGGCTTATACCAAGAATTTATCTATGGATGAGACCGTTTTTGAGTATTTGTTAGAAAAGCTATAATCAGACTGACCTGTTAGTGTGATGTTTTTGTTCTCGGTAGTTAAGATTTAAAAGGAGATACTGACAACACCTTTTAGAAACCCAAACAGATTTTAAAAGGGAACCAGAATGCAGAGTTGTGAAATACCAATTTTGTGAGGTAGAAATCACTTTTAAGAGTGAGGCGTAAAAATAATCTCCACAATCGAATGATATATCGGTGAATCATTTAAAGAGGTGCAATCATCTACGGATAAATTTGTCCATCCAACTATGTTTCTCAAGGACAATATCACCGCATACGATATTGAGTAGAAATACAATGTAACTTGTTTATTGTTTGATTAAAAAATTGACGGATTAACCGGTTACTTGATCGGAAGATTTTTCAAGTGACCGGTTACTACAAAACTGTAAAACTCGACTGGTTTGACAACCCTGCTTTACAACTGATTCAGTGTTGCATGTCTAGCAATATACAGAACTATCAAGACACAGCAGACATGCCTAGCCATGCACTGTTGGAAAAGTGTTTTCCAAGTATGAGAGAACTATGAGAGAACCAAAACCAGAGGTTTACCTATTTATTCCAAATTGTGCCATGTACTTTTAGATATTGAAACAAGATGTTACTGTAACAGTGGAACATGTTTAATCCGACACCTTGTGAAATTCAACATATTGGTTGGATTAGACAGAGTGCCGAAATACAATGTATTATTTGGAACTATGTATAAGACATTGCATCAAAGCTGCATGTTTGATATGACAGGATATCGTAGTATACGTATTCAGGTGTTGGATTACACAGGTTTCACTGTATTTTTTTTGTCTGCTGAAAGATTAGAATCTAAAATTCATCCTCAGGTTGTTTATATTGTCTTTATTATAACTAATCAAAATCTGTTTCGAGTCATACAACTGCTCAAGCAATTTTTGTGTTGATTTTCAATTTATACGTTAATTTAGTCATTAGATTGTCTATTATAATTGAATTAATATTTTGACATAAAAAATGTCAAGTCTCTTTGCAATTTTGGAAGATCAGCATCATTGATTATGAAGATTCTCAAAATATATCCACAAAATATATTTTTCTCAACTTAGTTGATAAATTATGGTGAAGTGATAGGATGGATTACTTGGGTAAATGATAAAAACCTATACAATTCTTGTATAATGGAATGTATATTTCATGCTCGAATCAATATATGTATTTTACCAATGATAATTCCAAAACTTTCAAAAGATGGTATACACTATGTATATACATGAAAAGTGTATTTCACTTGGCGAGAGGGGTTTATTTCAGGTAGCTTGTTTAACATGTAAATTAACCAATCAATACAATATAATGTTGATGAGTGATTTTCTTATTTTAATTTCTTTAATTGCTGTGAAATTTGGTATGAGTTACTGATCTGTTTATGAATGTGTAAAAAAGTGTTTTTGTATGCTTTGGTGGTGCTGAATATGTTGAAAAAAGGGATCAGAGGTAAGAAATTACATTTCTTTTATAAATTATAATAAAATCATTTGAATTTGTAATTGCTGATGTTTTTGATTCATTTTACAGGTGACACAAATATTATAAAAATAAAAAAAACAGTTCCTATTCTTTCAACCAGAAAATGTTTAACATTTTCAACAACCTGATTCCTGTAAAGTAAGGAAATATTGTTTAAATTGTCACTGACCAATTATAGAAATGTAGACAATACACTGACCCATTATAGAAATGTAGACAATACACTGACCCACTATAGAAATGTAGACAATACACTGAACCACTATAGAAATATAGACAATTCACTGACCCACTATAGAATTGTAGACAATACACTGACCCGTTATAGAAATATAGACAATACACTGACCCATTATAGAAATATAGACAATACACTGACCCATTATAGAAATATAGACAATACACTGACCCACTATAGAAATATAGACAATACACTGACCCACTATAGAAATATAGACAATACACTGACCCACTATAGAAATATAGACAATACACTGACCCACTATAGAAATATAGACAATACACTGACCCACTATAGAAATATAGACAATACACTGACCCACTATAGAAATATAGACAATACACTGACCCACTATAGAAATATAGACAATACACTGACCCACTATAGAAATATAGACAATACACTGACCCACTATAGAAATATAGACAATACACTGACCCACTATAGAAATATAGACAATACACTGACCCACTATAGAAATATAGACAATACACTGACCCACTATAGAAATATAGACAATACACTGACCCACTATAGAAATATAGACAATACACTGATCCACTGTAGAAATATAGACAATACACTGACCCAATGTCGAAATATAGACAATAAACTGACCCACTATAGAAATGTAGACAATACACTGAACCACTATAGAAATATAGACAATAAACTGACCCATTATAGAAATGTAGACAATAAACTGACCCATTATAGAAATATAGACAATATACTGACCCACTATAAAAATATAGACAATACACTGACCAATTATAGAAATATAGACAATACACTGACCCATTATAGAAATATAGACAATACACTGACCCGTTATAGAAATGTAGATAATACACTGACCCACTATAGAAATATAGACAATACACTGACCCACTATAGAAATGTAGACAATACACTGACCCACTATAGAAACATAGACAATAAACTGACCCATTATAGACATGTAGACAATACACTGACCCACTATAGAAATATAGACAATACACTGACTCACTATAGAAATATAGACAATACACTGACCCACTATAGAAATATAGACAATACACTGAACCACTATAGAAATATAGACAATACCCTGACCCGTTATAGAAATATAGACAATACACTGACCCACTATAGAAGTATAGACAATACCCTGACCCATTATAGAAATATAGAAAATACACTGACCCACTATAGAAACATAGGCAATAAACTGACCCATTATAGACATGTAGGCAATACACTGACCCACTATAGAAAAATAGACAATACACTGACCCACCATAGAAGTATAGACAATACACTGACCCATTATGGAAATATAGACAATACACTGACCAACTTTAGAAATATAGACAATACACTGACCAACTTTAGAAATATAGACAATACACTGACTCACTATAGAAATATAAACAAAACACTGACCCACTATAGAAATACAGGCAATACACTGACCCACTATAGAAATATAGACAATACCCTGACCCAATATAGAAATATAGACAATACACTGACCCACTATTGAAATATAGACAATACACTGACCAACTATAGAAATATAGACAATACACTGACCCATTATAGAAATATAGACAATATACTGACCCACTATAAAAATATAGACAATACCCTGACCCACTATAGAAATATAGACACTACACTGACCCACTATAGAAATAGAGACAATACCCTGACCCAATATAGAAATACCCACAATACACTGACCCACTATTGAAATATAGACAATACACTGACCCATTATAGGAATATAGACAATACACTGACCCATTATAGGAATATAGACAATACACTGACCCAGTATAGAAATATAGACAATACACTGACCCACTATAGAAATATAGACATTACACTGACCCACTTTAGAAATATAGATAATACACTGACCAACTATAGAAATATAGATAATACACTGACCCACTATAGACAATACACTGACCCACTATAGAAATATAGACAATACACTGACCCACTATATAAATATAGATAATACACTGACCCACTATAGAAATAGACAATACACTGACTCACTATAGAAATATAGACAATACACTGACCCAAGTACAAATTGTAATGGGGGACCTGTTTGGGTAGAGTTGACAGTGCCATTATATACTTACATACCATATTAAAGCAATATTGGAGATAGAGTGGGTAAAATGGCATCACCTTTGCATATACCTATACATGTGTTAATAAATCGGAGGCCGTGGCGGCCATTTTGAATGCGCAGCTTTAAAAAAAGGGTGTGTTGCATATCTGGGCACATGCCCCCAATACTCATGTGATGTTTCATTGGAATCTAACGTGTAGTTTCTGAGAAAACGCACGGAAGAAGAAACGGTGTAAATAAGTCCCCTACTTCGTTTGGGAGATTATGAACTTACCTCTACTCAAAAATGATAACTGGTTAGCAAGGTTGCAGCAAAGTTTAGGGACTAAATAATCCACCAGCAGAGACTAAAAGTAATTGAGGTTTCCCAAAATCTAATATTCATTTTATGCATTTTTACATTCTTTTCTTATTTGAATTATCTGGTGTTAACTTATAGCACTATTGAAATAAAATGTAATTTACTGAAATATATGTTTCTATATAATAATCTCACAATCTTTTAAAACATTTGTATTTACTTGTTTTCGAAGTACGACAAGTTAATCAGATGAAATCGATTTTTACCTGCCATTTTGTTCTTTGTCTTACAAAATAATGGCACTGAATGTTTTTCCGTGAATAACTCACCATATACAAATACAAATCATTCCAAGAAAAAAATGAAAATATTGTCAGATAAAACATCAATTGATTTTCTTTCGGTGTGTCTAATTTCATTGCAGTGGCACAAAACTGGTTCCAGGAAAATTCAATGGAAGAAGATAGAGATACATGAACTATAGTGTTAATCCTGGCAAATCGCGAACATTTTCGGCACGATGCTGTACTGAGCATTCAGAAACTGTCTTTGAATGTACCGATACAATAAAAAGAGCTAGTATATGTATTCGTTTTGCGGTAACGTCTAATAACATTCATCAAGCAATTGTTGCGAACCATTAACATTTACAAAATTAGCAGCATACTTACCGGATTGTAGATGTTTAGTGAAGACGGATGAACAACTGTTACAATTCGGTGTTGAACAAAATAGTATATATGGCCTGGTAATATGGTCTGTATTTTAAATCATGTGATCAAGGAACTACAATTATTCTCTTTACTTTTTACGCAAAATCAAAGACACATGTACTTGCATAGTAATGTTTACATCTTAAGGGGCTCCACAAGAGGTGGTCGTTGATTTTGTTTTATCTAGAGCTACATTTCAGGTTACAAAATGCAACATTATTTCTAAGGTTACTATCACAATATGAAATTTTATCAATGCTAGTTAGATAAGCATGATAACATTTCATAATGGGTCAAGGAATCTTTCTACCAATACGTTTATATTAACGTTAAGGGTACGTATCAATCACTGCCGTCCGAATCGCTAAAATGAATTCAACCCGGAGAATTTTCTACATTTAGTATTTTAATTTCTATAGAATATGAAGCATCGAAAATGACTTCTTCAGACTTTGAAAAAAAAACCTTTAAAGTCTTTCCTTAAAGCCTTTCTTGGGCACTGCAGCCAATAATTTCCNAAAAATTTCCCCAATTTTTTTTTTTTTTTTTTTTTTTTAATTCTATTTTCTAGCTTTTCAAATGTTCAACAACTTTAATTCCGTTAATTCTATCGCAACGTGTCTGAGCTGTCTTATAAAACTCTGATATGTGCCCTACATATTAACGTCAAGTTATTCTATTCCAGAAGAATACGTATCTTAGAAGGATTCTGAATTACACCTTCGGCCTCTCCTGTAGATCTGCAGGTTCGCCAAAGATATGCCGATCGTTTCATGTGACAGTGTTATGCATTCTGATAGCTGCCATGTGTGTTGGAAAGGGTTTTCATGTGAACATTTTAAAATGTCGTTTTTCAAAGGCGTTAATTGTGTAGTGCAGCAATTTTGTTTTCACGCTCGAACTACTGACACAACACAAGAAGTAAATGCTAATTATCTCCAATCCCAAAAATGTGTCGGATGGCTGGCCAGAAGAGGACTGGTGTCCAATGCAGATGAACGTATAGCCTGTAACGTTAATATTACATTATGAATATGACCTACACACTGGGTGAACAGGGTAAGTGAAAAAGAATCATTCACCCCCTTGGGGGTGAGATAGGGGAAGCTCAACCCTCGGGGAAATATTCATAAGTTGCCAAACACTCGGCAACTTAAGAATCTTCCCTCTCGGGTTGAGATTCCCCTAACTCACCCACGAGGAGATGAGAAATTATACTATTCTCTTACCCTATTCACCAATTGTTCTACGTAATATCATCTAATTATATTGGAAACTTTATTGGACTTCAGCCAAAGTTAATTCGCCAACTGGTCTGTTAGATTCTTATTACCACCTCCATCATTCTTTCTTCTCTACTACTATGTATATCTTCGATCGTTGTTGAATTCAAGTTATCTTGACATTTGACAGAATAATCAGAAAGCTCTTCAAGCAACTGTCGAACATGGACACGATATTTATAATTGTTATACATGCAATATACATTGTACATGTAAAAAACAGAACACAGAAATACATCTGTAATCATGTAATTTATTTGAATCGCTTCTTTTGACTGAAATAATTTCATGTTATGACGGAATACGCTGGGGATAGCTTTTGCTTTTGATATTTAAGCCATCCGCTAGGTACAAGAATGGACGATCACTCTCTGTCTATGTTTCTTCATACGAGGACAGAAAGACATTCGGCGGTTGCCCTGGTACTGTCGGACTTCGCCCTCATGGTGTTTGACGATTTGGCCCATTAGTGGTGGTAGAAGTTGTCTGGTGAAATAGAAAGTAAGTATTATATGCCTTACGACAAAACATAACATCACATTATTTCATGTCCCTGTCGTCGTGTATACTAATCTTAAACCATTATGAATTAAAGACCTTATCGAAACAAATACAACACATATTCATTATGTTGACAAAAACATCCAATGTTTTTCTAAAATACCTAAGGTATGATATACCGTTTTATTTTTTGGTTTTGGTTTTATTTTGTTTAACGTCCTATTAAAAGCTAAGGTTATGTAAGGACCTACATCCATGTGTGTTGTGTATGAGTGTATGTGCCCGAGACAATGTGTTTTATTCCTATCTTTGTGTGATTGATGAATTATTTATGTCATAAATCGCTAGTAAGTACAAAATATACCAATATTTAGAGTTGCTTTGTTTGGCCTTTAATATGCAGAAGGTGAAAAGGTTTGGTTTGGTTTGTTTTTTTAAGGTGGAAAGGGGGTAGAGAGTAAACCATAACATTTGCGTTGGGTAAAAGGGCATGCTACCATCAAGTTTTTAATTTTGTGTCTTTTGGCAAAGTCTTATGACCACTAGTAAAATGTCCTCAGCTTCACAAGTAAAGTATATCATAAGCTCTATGAAGCTAGACTGCCACGGTATGAGATTAATTGAATCTCTCATCCCTTAGGAGATAAAATAGGGGAATCTCAACCCGAGGGAGGAGATTCTTAAGTTGCCAAACACGAGGCTTTGCCCCCCGAGAGGATGATAGATTCTGTTAACACCTGTCCAAGATAAGAGAAAAAAGCAAGTCATCGCATTGATTGAAATATCAAAAGTGTAATTTCCGTGTAAATCAAACCTAGTCTTCAACTCAAAGAGGACATTATTATGTAAATTAAACTTAGTCTTTAACCTAAAGTGGATATTATTATGTAAATAAACCTAGTCTTTATCCCAAAGTGGATATTATTATGTAAATTAAACCTAGTCTTTATCCCAAAGTGGACATCATAATGTAAATTAAACCTAGTCTGTATCCCAAAGTGGACATTATACTGTAAATTAAACCTAGTCGTTAACTCGGAGTTGACATTATTATGTAAAATAAACCTAGTGTTCACCCCAAATTGGCCATTATTATGTAAACTAAACATAGTCTTTGACCCAAAGTGGATATTGTTATATAAATTAAACCTAGTCTTTAACCCATTATTATGTACATGAAACCTGGATAAGGTCGAACTGTATACATATTTCGGTTAATCCACAGAATACATTTTTAGAAATTAATTGTACTTTGACAAGATCCCACAATATATTACATTTATATGTTTATTGCATCTTTTAGTAGATCCCCCATATGCATTGCTATGTATATATATAATCTGGACAACTGTCCATTTTGAACAAGAATATTGCCCCGTGAAGTTTGTGTTCGTTTAGACAGTAGACGGGTATCGCTCTATTGGTCCCAGGGGTGTTTGATTTAGACAGGGTTTGCTGTAGTTTTGAAAAACAGTGTAGTTGAGACTTACAGTTCGCTTGGTGATAATAAGCTCGATAGTTCCTCTTCAAACTTGAGCTTAGGCTCCACTTTTGGTTTGTAACCTTCACCGTGCGGTGTAACCTCTGTAGCGCGTGGGGTGCACGCTGTTTCTTTGGCTTTGGAATGACTGGTCACTGCAGATTTTGATATACCTGGACTGGCGGTTGTAACGGTCACCTGTATACACAAAGGATGGACAACTGACTGGCGATGCTGAGGAGTGTTGTGCTTATGTTTATTGTGAAATATTGACAGTCAATCATGAATAACAAGTTAATTATATATACTTAGTATTTGGTAGTTTTCAATTAAAATGTTTCATTTCCTTATACAAATGAACTATCCATTTCTCATTATTTAAAGCGATTTTGTTGACAGGAGTAATATTTCATATCACATATACATGTATGATGTTCATGGCAAATGGAATAGAATGTATAAATTAGATAAAGGAGCATTCAAAAAATTTCGTAACTTGGTGAACCCTCCAAAATTTTAATAAGCATTTTTACTAACTACACATGGAATACAATGATGGCAGTAAAATAAAGCAGATGATGCTTACCCTGGTTCTACCAAGAATGAAGTTAGCAGATTTCGGTGTCATCTGCTTCGTTGATCCTTCCACTGGAAACTTTACCGTTCCGTTCCGTGTGTTGGCTGTTACGACTTTTTTGGCATATGACCTTTGGGGGAATCCACATCGTTTGTTTTCGGTATTTTCTGGCTTTGAACCCGTTGACCCGACACGCGCCTTAGGTGTGGTGATTTTCCCCGCGCTGCCCGAGCGTGATGGGCAATTACTTTTGGATTTGCTGTCTGGGTTAGGTTTAACATTACTGTCGACCTTGGCGGTTTCCCATGCTTTCACGGCAGAATTCGGTTTGCCACTCTTGGTACATTTTGAATCGCCACCAGAGGCGCTGTCAGCTTTACATTGATCACGGAAGAGCTGTCAATATAGAAGGAAACACAATTATGCTTATAAACTACAAGAATATCAGCAACATGAAATTTAAAAGCAATAAAGTTCATATTACTGTTGCTTATTTTTAGATTATTTTACACAATGCAACAGGCCATCACACTTAATTCATAAACGTTGAGTATATTAATGTATTTGTCCCGCAACTAATTAACTTACATTTTCATAACATAATGCCATTACAATATTTTTTGATGTATGTGTCAAAGTTGCTATCTCCTGAAAAACATACATTGGCTTTGCCGTCGCCATTGTTTACCGACTGCCTTTCCAAGGAAATGGAATATAAAACTCCTATTTTTTTTAAAGATGATAGCAATTTTTTAATAATTGAAAAATTGAGCGTCCTTCTTTATTTTTTAACACTTTCGTCCTTGCTTAAGAGCGTCAGAAACTATGCTTTGACAGCACTCACCTTATTATACATAAACCATAGTGGCATTTGTTTGCAGACGCCTTCCTTGCCAGAACATGGTGTGGGTGATGGGTCCAACTTATCCTTGTTCATCATTACTAGCTGTGCGATGTACCGGAAATTAGGTTTACGGGACGCCGCGCCTGTGCCACTGTCCTTCTGGTCCTTGGCCGTCTTTGGCCACGTGTTTGGCCTGAGGGGCAGTTTCGGACCTGCATCAACACAAAATGCATGTGGACGCTCATTCGTTTCAAGTTATATAATTCTAAGACAATTCCAACTGATTATTACGTACGGTGAGGATTGTTTATCGAAGCACTGCATTGGTTTGACACACCATAGCTTTAGACAGTATGGACATATCTCATTATGTGTACAGTGATGTTACACACTAAATGGACAGAACAATCCAGCTTTACGTATCTCCTTTCTTTCAGTCAATACACGAACAAAACGTCTGTGACGTCTCAATATCCTCCATACGTACATGCATTCTACCCGTTGCATGAATTACTGATGATGATCAGGAGTCACATGATGCTATCAGTTTGTTTACAGACATGATCACAAGTGCTATGATCACAAGTGCAGTGTCCATTTACTTTTAAGATCATTTCACTAAATCATCAAAGGAAAACGAAATACAGTGACATATTCAACTGGAAATTACATTAGCACGAAACGAAAGTGTATGCTATTCCCAAACTTACCCGGTCTAGGTACTCTTCTACTTTTCAATGTAACAGTTTCCCCGGCCGCTTGGTTCAAGGTCACGGTCCGGGTTGACGTATTCGAGTGACCTTTGTTTGGTGATGCCTTAAAGCAGATCGGTTTGGATCGGCGTGGTGCGCTTGTCTGATCAACACGTAGAATGTCTATATCTGGGGTGACCTTCTCCTGGCATTTGTACGGGTTCTAGTTCGAAGAAAGGGAACAGATGACAAAACCATCTTTATAATAGAAAGTGGAACGTAACACACACACAGGTGGTTGCACCTTAGACATTTGGTAATAGATACAGTAAGCCAAATTAAAGTCATCAAATCCACATCGTCGAAAATACTGTTAAAAAAGAGTGGCATGTGCGCAAAACCCCTAAACTATGAATGCCACAACCATATTCCGTCTTTGCGTATTGCAGAGTTATCTTCTCTTGGGAGCAGGTATTGATTGTTACGTCATTGGTTTGTGTGAGAAAATTACGTCGTTTTCTCAAAAATTGATGACGTTGCTCTCACAAACAAGTGACGTAACAATCAATTCCTGCTTCCAAGAGAAGATAACTCTGCAATACGCAAACACGGAATAGGTATTTTCATACAGAAATATGAAGGCATTATCCTGCAAGTCTGCGTCAAGCTTATTGCCTATGATCAGCATTGTTCCGGATTTAAACACCGTATTTAGTGTTCTAAACGATAGAGCACTGTCAATGAACGAACATCGCACATCATCTCCAAAACTTACGGTCCATTTAGGCTTGGTAACCTGGCGCGGTATCGGTTTATTTCCGGTCAACCACTTGTCATCTATGACTTCATCCAAAGGCGGTCTCACAGACGGATGGTACTGAAGTATCTTCCGTATAAGAACCATACAGTCTAAACGACAAAACATGTCCGGTCCATTCATTAAACAACGTAAATAAGATACGATTTATAAAACCATTACAGTCGCTTTCACATCAGTAATAGTAGAGGGGTATCTCCATACTCTTCATCGACATTTTGTAAACAAAGAAGAAAATAGGTAAGATATATCTAAATGTTCTCGTATCCTAGATCGTAAAAATATATTTATGGTCAGAGGTATGTCTTCCAAAAACCAGATGCACAAAATCAATCATAGTTTAGGACAGCACTGCAGTCTACACGAAATTCACTTCTCTATTCGATTCAAATAAAAAAGACAGTGTTCTCACATACCATAGGCGAGAAAAGACAGTAAAGAGCGCGTATGCACTCACGAACAGACGAACTTTCGCAATTGAAGTTCAATCTAAGAAATACAGCATCGCTGAGAACTAGACTCACTGGACAAACTATCAGAATGGACTTCAGAAGTTCCAATTATTGAAAAAACACGTTGATTGAAATATGTCATTGGGTGATGAATTGAGTTGGTCTTGAAACAAATTCAACATGAACTGCTTCGCAGTCCATTAAATTTGTTTCAAGACAAAATTCATCATCCAATGAAATCGACCAAAGCAAGATTAAATCCTTAATTTAACTCACCGAAAGACACGCTCCGTTCGAACTTCAGCCTCTGCATCTTCATCTCTTCCTCCATCTCCATCAACTGGTTGTCATTGAATGGCAGACGACCGTTTACCATGGCGAACAAGATGATCCCACTGAAGCCGTAGTCAACAGTATTAATACCATTGTAATTGCATAACATGAATGGCTGTTATCCAATTAATTTTGATATTTCTTATATGCAAATTGTCACATTAATGGCAACGTTCAATTGCACAGTATCTTCGTTAGCCAATGGCAATGAATACATTAATGTCAACCCGCTTTAGCGTTTATATTTAACTATTTTAAAAAGAAATTACTCTTCACACTTATTTGATTTCCCCACAAAATACATGTGACGATTCATTAAGTTATTTATAGCCCTAACATTTCTAAAGAACAACTGAGCCCTGATGATTCTTTAAAGATGGTCAACGAATCAAAACCATTCCAAAAGAATTCGTTTTATGCACATCGCATGTTACAAGTGTTACTCACAGACTCCATATGTCAGACCGGAAGCCATCATACGGTTTCGCACGGATCACTTCCGGTGCAGTATATGCGTATGAACCACATGAAGTCTTCAAATGGGTGTCAGTAGTTGCGACTTTACAGGAAAATCCAAAATCTAAAAAATAAATCGAAAATTTGAAGTTACGGTATAGTGCGATAACAGTTTGTTTATGTGCATTGTTAGTTGACAAAGGCAGGAAGTACTGCAATATAACTAGTTCGTGTGTATCGTTTGAGAACATGGCAGCACATATTTCATCTCCGAAAACCAAAAATGTCCGCTCTCGATTGAAATATTTTCTCTACAGCCATAGAATGTATCATAACAAAATGCAGGCTCTAAATGTGCGACTTTGAGATGACATCAGTGGACTAGTTTGATTCTTTAAGTCATTTCAAGAGAATCGCGCTGCAGCAAAACGATCAAATTGACCGTCTTTGAAGTCGATAGGCGTTCATCTGTTATCTTCAAAGGACAGGTTTCGGCTTGACGATTGGACATATTTTATGCACTGGAACCAATAAAATCAAATGTTGAGAGCGGCTTTCTGGGAATTCCAAGATTCACATCTGATTGAATAACCTGTTTATGTATTGTTTGTTAACAAAGCAGCACATCCTGTGGAATAAACTGTATGTGTGTATTGTTTGTGGAGATAGCGTCACTTACATTTACCTTTACAGCAATATTGCAAAGGGACGTCTAACAGCATTAACTTGCAGGGTTATATGTGCGTCAGTGGAAAATACATGGTTAGTTCTTTTTATATCGATTTTCATTGAAAATTTCATTCAGTGCATTGTGTTAATATAGCAAACACGTTTGTCTTGAACATGTAGTTACATTGTACTTACCAGTTAATTTGCAGTTCATATTCTCGTCCAGTAAAATGTTTTCACATTTCAAATCTCTGTAAAAAAACGGTCGCATGAAATTAAAAGTAATGCAAAAAGTTTCGGTCAATGTAGGAATTCAGCAATACAAGTCAGGTATACAAACACCTTGATACCTTTAAAAACCAACAGCTACATTATTTAAATAAGAATACTTCGTTCATTCAATTTTTTCATCTGTCAAGTGATTCCGGTTTTCAGATTACTATTTTAAAATGAATCGAACCGTAAAAAGATAATTAGAATAGATGTATGTTTGTATTATGCATTGTTTGTTTAACGATAAAGTAAATAACAAGCAGTGCTGGTGAATCACCATACCTGTATAAGTAAAGTTTATCTCGTTGTTGGAAATAAATATCTTGAAACCTTTTTTCGTAATTAAAGCAATGAGCTTTAATAAAGTATGCATAGGTGCAAGCACCGAGCTACAGTGCCTTTCAACATATAATTTAATCTTCGATGTGTATACGAACGGTGAACCAGCCCCATAGTCAGTTGTGATGAGAAAGTTGTTAACCGTATTTCATGTGATTTTACCATTAGGAGGATACTTAAACAGCGCCCCTTGTTACAACGATATTGGCATTATAATGATGTAATTAGCAGCTAGTAATTGATCATCTTTTTTATGTGATATACTTTGCCGTTGTACCTGTGAACTAAAAGATGTTTGTGGAGGTGCTGTACGGCGCTACAGATCTGCAAGAAGATTTTACGAGTGGTTTCTTCTCCTATTCCTTTCTGGTTCTGCCCGATGTGCTTGTTGATCAGGTCTAGAAGGTCTCCGTTAGAGCAATACTCCATTACCATGTACACGTGGTTCTGGGAGGAAAACTGCTCATACAATCGCACCTAATGAAGTACAAAACCAAAACTATTATCGTATCTTACTTAAATGCTCGTTGTTTCGTCTTTTCGGGGTAGAAAATAGGAAAGAACGATATTGAAGGTTTGTTAGTTCTCGTTTTCGGAGCGAAAAAACCCCGAAACAACAAAATGGCAAAAATCAGCCACTGTTAATTAATAATAATTCGCCCGAGTAAAACATGATTAATCGCGGGAAAACAAAGAATTGTGTTTCCCTACCACAAGAGCAATATAAATATATAATACATTGAACATATCTCTGGTTAATAGTAATATGTTTAGCACGAGTTTTCTTCTGGTCCTGACACCAGACTTTGACATTTTTCATGTTTCACTCGGGCGAATTATTATTAGTTAACAGTGGCTGATTTATGCCATTTCCTTTTTTTCGTTTTATTTCGCTCCGAAAACGAGAACTAACAAACCTTCAATTTCGTTCTTTCCCATTTTCTACCCCGAAAAGGCGAAACAACGAGCTTTGAAGTCTTTTCGAAATAACGAAATGGCACAAAGTTATAAAATGATATCAAAAAATTAACAGACTACTATCACAGACTCATTGCGTGCTGCTACATGTACTTACGATGTTTGGATGGGACGGGATCTTAAGGTGGTTAGCCAGCTCGCGAGGCAGAAACTTCATCAGGAAGTCTTTCGGCACCTGTTTCTTGTCAATAATCTTTATCGCCACCTGAAGTTGGAGTTTTCAAATATGATAGGCACAATTATGTAACTATTTGGGGGTAAACATGTGTATAAATTACAAACTTCATAGAGTTAAGTAATGTCTAACAAAACCTTTCGAAGTATTGCTATCTTGTTAGGAATTCCCAAAATATTTACGATCGCTACCATTTACTTAAAATATATGCTGCAACTGTAAAGTGACTGTCTAAGTCTACCACGCATCATGGATCCGGTTGTATGGATATTAAAACAATGTGCTACATGGATTTATAGTAATTAAAACAACTATTAATTATAACATAATAATACTGGACGCCGGAAAAAGATCATATGTATGGTCAGCCTTTAGGCTGACGCCCCATCAGTGAATAAGTTCATTATTGTCAAGTTCATGATTATAAAAACATTCTGATTGTCCCCAATGCTAATCTAGCCGGGCTTCAGACGTTTTTATTGTTGGTGATGTGATAACGTGATTTGACAGGAAATTCCAATGGTTGACCACTCTATTTCTAATGGAATACTTTCTTAAGTTCAATTTAGACATTCCCTTTTTCGAGTCCAAGACTATGACCTCTTGCTATTGTTGCGATATCAATAATGATAACATCCTTCCCAGGTAATTAACGGAGCAGCCTTACCGACATACATGTGAACGGGAAGTGGATATAGGTAAAATAGTAACCTTAAAAAAATCATAGTAGGATTAAAATCATCCTCTAGACCTATCAGTTAAATAAAATAGTTACCTTATCATAGCTAGAATATTGTTATGAAAAACATATTTACATATGTATTGTGTTGTATTACGGCGATGACTGTTATAAGTTGTAATAAATTGTTGTCCGATCCTTTTGAATCATTTGATCAATAAAGCATGTTAAAACAAAAATAATGCTAAAATGTTTTCTATAATAAAAATAGCATACAAAGAGAAAAATAACAATCAAATGGTTTTAAAAATGTTGAAGATGTCAGGTACCACCATAAAACAGCAATATCTTTAATAACTATACATCTGCAAATTACCAGGAATGTTCCTTTTGTTACGGTTTATTGATATGATATCTTAATCAAAGACGTATGCATACCTCCATTTGGCCTGAATCGCCAGCAATGTCTGCCATGGTTTGGTTCCTGGCCAATTTACTTGGCATGATATCTGCTTTCTTGACCTTGGCGTATGCCCCTTCTCCCAGGATATCTGCGAGACGGTAACCATGATTGATACAATCCGCGTTCACGAGGTCCGTAGTCCGGTCCGACTGGGACTTGGACTTGTGTTCAAAAATGGAGGCCGATTTTCCCGGCTTATCACTCTGGTCGACCATCCGCTTATAGTGGTTCAGGACAGATATTTTATGCCTCTTCTCAGCAAACCCTCTCATCGTTGTGTTCTTCATTCTTATAGTTTCCCCAATCTGAGTGGGAGACACCCCATTACTGCATACACATCATTGCCATCTCAACGTGACGTCAATATGTCTCATTGTTGATGACGTCACAGTCCAATTGTCTATTTATTGATGACGTCATAATTAATATAATGACTTAAGTACGAAAGAATTGAGGACCAGTTTAATTTTCTCAAAGTCCTTTCACACAGTCAAACAAGTAAAGACGTGGCTATATAGGAATCAGAATACATACAAAGCTGGTGTTCTGATAATGTTAGCTAACCTCTTGGAAATATTTTATATGTCGTAATTGAAAATATGTTGCTGGCCTTAATGTAAGTTTGGGCTGGTCAAAAAATGTTCACATAGTACATGTAGTCCACATAAATGAAAGTATAGGGTTCTACATAACCCCATGTCATGTCATGTTCCTATCTGGTCCTGGAATCAATGTAAATGTTTTATTTACTTTGTTTGTACTTGTAAATACAAGGTCCTGAACCTAAGAGCGATATATGTTCCTGTTTAACCGTTTTCGACACTAAATAAATATTCTTGTATCTTAATTGTATCTGCCCCATAAAGTAGTTCATTGTCATTGGCGCAATTATCAGATTGCTCATGTAATTAATTAAGCAAAGTATTTGCCTGTGTATATGATGATTTTGAATATATATATATTATTTTTTTGCATGCATCCAAAATGTCAATACGGAAAAGGCGATTTTTTTTTTTTTTAGATAGATATAGACATCTATATATTTATATCAATATATAAAGACATACCAAAGAGTCAACACATGCATATATGCTGTTCTCGGAATACAATTAAATATATCTATGGAGATTGAAAAAAAAAACCTCAATTCTTTGGTCCTAAAAATGATTATCATACAGTTACAGTATAGTATTTAAGAGTCCGTACCCAAATCAAAACCTACTTAAACTATTTATTGTCAATAACTGCTTATACGAAATTCAACTGAGTTCCATAGCCAATGAATTAATCTCTGGTAATTTTACACGTATTTATCTGTGAATGCACGTTATTTTACAGTGTCGCTAAAAATTGTTCGGTAATAGGGAAACGGAGTTATGTCCCTTTACAGGAATTTTAGCACAAAAGAAAATGGCGCCCCCATCAAACATGATCGAAGATTGCGATTGACTCTTGTTTACATTATACATTGGTAAAAAACCCATCTTTAGCTAGATAATACTTTTAAAATTGTTGAGGAAGAAATGAATTTGATGTCTAAGTCCCTATCAAATAGCATACGCTGTAAATACAGTCTTAAACCAGGTTCGGAATAGCAAGGAATTTGATGCGGATTGGGGGATGCATTATCAGATTATACACAGCTTGAAGTCACACAGATATCTGTCAATAGTGATATGCCTAACTAGGCAGTTGCCTTGTCGTATAATCGTGATTTACATTGAGCCATCAAAATATAATCGATGGGATTCGATTCTAATTTTGTAAATTATAATATTATTTTGAAAGGGGGGGGGGGGCTGTAAAAAAAGCAGTTGTTTTGGCTACTACAAATAACGTTCAGACGTTATCTTAATGCTATGACACATTGCATTTTATAGCATGTTCGTTGTCAAAGGCTATAATGCTCATCCCTGTGGTCTATGGAGTTAACCATGCAGAGACATCAAGATACAACAACAAGATACAAGAAACTTTATTTAACGTCACATATATCAAACAGAGAAACTTAAGCACTGCAGCGCTATTTTTGCGACAAACATGATAAAAAGCAAACAGAAAACAACAAATCAAGCTATACAGTAACACTATCACAGAAAGCTAACACATAATCACCGAGTAAAACATACAATAACATGGCATATAATTAGATATCACAGGCACTAAATTTAAAGTACTATACTAAAAATGATGTAAAGAGATAAAAGTGAAACACCTGCATATCACACAGGTGTTGCTATATATATATTGGAGGGTTAAAACGCTTCAAGTGTAATGTACATACATGCTAATATAGCAAAAGAGTAAAAATTGACATAATATACACTGATATAGTGTAAATTAAAATAGGACGACAAGGTCTAGTAAGTAAAAGATATTGAGCTATAATGATGATTAGAAGAGAGGGCTAGAAACTATGCTGCCAGTTATTGGTATATAAAATACAAAATCCAAGGCTGTGATCATGAGCTGCCAACGCTTTCATACATTCTCAAATTGTCTGATCATTGTCTTCCTAAGATTCATAATGAGCTAGCCTAAAAATGAATGTGTCCATGTATATCTAAAATGATTGCGCATATGTGTTAGTGCACGTGCAAGCTTTGAATTTTATGAGTTAAAAATCGTGCAACAAAATATTATATATACAGTATAATTTCCTCTAAACACAAATTGATCCATGACTATTTTATATTGGTATTCATAATTAAAGATTTTTCACATATTTTAGTGTGGAAATTTCCTAAAAGTACATATATGCATGTCACAATGAGGAGATATATTTGAGTGAATATCTGCTGGTTGGAGCACACTTTGTATTTAGTAACCAACTATATTGTGAAAATGTTAAGTGTGCTTTTTTGTAGAAACACTAAGAAACATTTAAAGTACTAGTTGTAAATTATTGTTGTCATACTTGCCAACTCTCCCTATTTTGGAGGGAGACTCCTGATTTTGGACCCTAAAATGAAGCATTTTCAACGAGCAAATTTGTTAAATTATTCCTTTTTTCGAAGATCTGATGATTTCATCTGCGAGAACAGCCCAAAAGATGCCATTTAAAAGGGTGTTTTTTCCCCAGGGTGTCCATGCACACATTTTATGTAAGCTTTTAATTCCTTGTGCTCGTAATCTTCCCAATAAAAATTTCAAAAGGTTGGCAATTGCAAGTATGATATTAAGATACTTACATTAATACAATTTATTGATACCTTGGCACCAATATTTCATTATGCATTATATAGCGTTTTATGTAGTAAATTGGGTATTTGGATGTGAAATGGTTCATCTGATAAAATTTTCATTGCAGATTGTAGTTACTGATCCTTAAGGCAGTGATGGGTGCTGAGGAGAATGCTGTTATCACTGTGAGGCTGGACCTCAAGAACCGCTACTCTGTGATTATGGAAGAGACGCAGATGGACTCCAGCGAGTTGATGGAACACTTCTTCTCTTTGTACAATAGGTATTAACCACAGGAAATTTGAGTTAGAGTATTCATGTGTATTAAAGTTAGAAACTAATCATTTGTACTGTGAATTAAATCCTCTCAGTGTACTTATTAAGCTTGGGGTCTTATTGTGGGAGGAAACCAAAGTACCCAGAGAAAACCCATGTGGTTGGGTGATTGACCCTGTGTCATATCTTTTCATAACCAATCGGGGATTCAAACCTCATCTGCCTCTAATTATAACTAAGGGCGAGTGCATTATCAACCGTGCCACCGACCACCCAAAATGTATGAATATGCAATGTGTAAAAGATACTTACTAATGCAATCCCATGGATATTATTGTCTATGCATATTTCAGATTGCGTGGACCGGATAAAATGTTTGAATACCGCATGTCTTTTTACAAAATTAAAACAAAATCTGATCAGGGGTGTACATGTACAATTCCATGTTTAGAGTAAAATCTAAAAGAAAATCACAGTAAACATAAAAAAATCATTTCTCCCCTGACAAAAAGTACTAGCCGCAGTCATTAGACTGATTTTGTTGACTTTCGATTTACTAATTTTCCATTCCCACACATAGTATTTTATGTCTCGAGAATATAGACTTGAGAATAAAGACTCTGGCTATCAGTCTTTCACACTGTTTATGTAGCATTCAATATTTATATAAGCCCTGTGGTGGCATATATTTGGCTCCACGTGCACTCAAAGGTTATATTTAAGGATCCCACTGCACTGTGGTTCATACATACAGAAGCCACCCTTTAACTTACATTGAATACAACTGAAGTACATGTACAGTTGTGCCAGGACACTTCCGTTGATCAGGTAGCTCTATTCGTTAGGGTGATAGTATAATAGTGTTGGGAATTGCTTGTAAATTCATATTCGATCATCACTTCCAGTCAAGTGACTGATGATCGATCAAATTGAACTTAAATTCAGTAACTTAAGGTTATATTCGCTTTCCAAAATTTACTTTCACTTTCGTTAACGGGGAAACCCGGACGTTTAGAGAATTTCGCTAATAACTCACAACATTCATACAAAAAACAATAAGTTTGTTGACAGAACCTTATAATTATTGAAAAATATGTATTTTGTATTTAGAAATGAAACTGATGATGTTTGCAATGTCAATTATGCTGCGACAGCTGCATCTCGTACTCAGAAATGCTGTGATGGATTGGTATTCACCTGATGACACCCCATCAAACTAACATTTTATTTCTAAGATAGCCCACACTTTCCACAAAGCGTTTTATTTATATCCAGCTAAGGACAAACAATACCTTCCAAACGTTTATATCAGTAGCCCCCGGATGATCATAGAGTTTAATCTCAGGAAAGTCCTGGTTTGCCATATTGTCACGCACGATTGAGCCATGCAGCATTTCTATTGAAACGCAAGCTCTGATTGGTTGTCGGGTGGACCAGCTAGCCAATCAGCATCGTCGGTGTGCGAGACGTTCGGTCAAGTTGTTTTGCCAAAGAACGAACAACTCGCTGTCGGTGGTAATAACAGTATCCGAGTATATTTTTTGTTAATACTTAAATTAGTCGAACTATACTAGATCGTGGAAAACAAGGATCGATTAATCGATTTTCAGAAACAAACAACCAGACGTCGACTAAATCGATTAATTGGAACAACACTATAGTATAACAATCAGAAGTCCAGTGTTTGAACCCTAATCTAGCCCTACTGAATTTTTTTTCCACTCAGAACACTGTTATTGATTATATTTTATTTATTTCATTTTTATTTTTTCTCTTAAAAGTCCTGCAAGGTATGGTTTTCTTTTCGGAAATGATTTATCAACTCTATAGTCATTGTGTCTAACCCTGGATTTGTGATATTTAGTTATGTATTTATGTTACCTGTGGTTGTTGTTCAATGTACTTATAATTATCTCTTATTGTTTATTTGGTTGTTGTCTATTGCAGCAATGTTGAAAAGGTTTGGACCGAGTCAGATGGCAGTAAACAGGCAAAGCAACAGGGACTACATAAGGAAACAAAGTACTGGATGAGGAAGGTCTTGTCTCGGCCAGACCATGATAAACTATTCCCCAAATCTCACGACCCAGACAATGGTGCTGATAATATTGATACAGAAACAGCAACCTCCAAAGAATGCGACGTTAGTGGCACCGAGGACAAGTTGGGCCCCAGTGACAGGGATATTGAAACCATACCTGCGTTACAGGTTGGAAGAAAACGGAAATGTCCCAGAAAGATCATTTTGACTTTACCCGAACACATACTGTCCAAAGATATCTCAATTAATGTTTCAAATAGATTGGGTCAGGCATCGAAAAGTGCAAAAAAAACTTTTGAAAGTAAAACCAAAGCTGCAGATGTTTCCTCTTCCACTGTCTGTTCATCGACCGTCACATCAGAAACAGCAAAACCAACTGAGGAGGAGGAGGAGGAGGAGGAGGAGCAAGTGATGCCTGAGGGATCACCGCTCACACCAAACATTAAAATAGAACCCGAGGGTAGTGGCGATGAGGCAGAGAATACCGATAGTGCTACTCCAGCCACCAAGGAAAGTTCTCCAGAACTTGAAGGGGAGAAATCACAAGAAGGGCAAAACCAAATAGGTACATTTGTATTAATATGTTGATGGATGAAGACATCAATTAATATATATATATATTATATATATCAAATATTTCATTATGAAGTGATAGGGAATACTCAGGGTTTGACACTAACACTAGTCCTCTAGTCCACGAATAGTGGACTTCAGCGAGGACTGGTGAATCTCCTAATGAAACCGGTCCTTTGGACAAGTTTGTAAAAAAAATACTATATCACCATGTCTATGTGGCAACAGCTTTCAGATGTCCCCTTCGATCAGTCAATTACTTTTTATGTGTTGTGCTGGGATATTTCCTGAAGGAAATATTGAACAATTTACATTGACACAGGACCAGTAAATTATTTATTCATCTAATCCTGTAGACTACCATGCAAAAATAGTCGGTGTCTAACACTAATACCAGTTAAATGCATAAAGATATTTTGCAATTTTTGCTGGCCACATTGAATAACTGAGGCAATGATTTATTTGATGATGTCTGAAATGGTTGTCAGATAGCATCTGAGGAAACCAATACTGAGAAAGCAATTATTTTTTGTGAGGGTCAGTTCAAATAAATTGTAAGGATGTGATGCATAAATACTTGAGATTAAAGCAAGTGCTGCTCTTTGGATTGAGTATACATTGTAAGTGTAAACCTTGTTCTATGTGTTACTCCTTTTTTGTATTCTTAAAAACAAAAACAAATCAATCTTAAGAGCAATTCTTCCATCAATTCATGTCGTTTTGAAGTAGTGATTATTTGAAAAACTACAAACTTTCAGCACAGTGAAAATAAATGGTTTCTTTGTTGTTGGATCTAATAATTTTAACTAAAGCGACTGACTTTTTGTGAGGTATCACTTCTTTTTCTGGAAATGGTGAAGTTGAATAATATATATTCTGAATTTGAAGAGTTGTCTACCTTTGACTATCAGCAAATCCAAACTGCTTTTGATTTACTGTTTGATCAAAAAAGGAGATGATTCTTAGCAATTCAGAATATTGTAATATCTTTCATGAACAAATTCCTAGTTATTCCTGTATAAAGTGAAGTGAAAAGTTTGCTATTTTTATAGACTAACCTGAAGGTGTTGTGATGTTTTGACAGATGACGAGGGAGTAGCAGATGGTGAGGCAGAGGAAGACACGTCTATGAACTGCAACTATCTAGGACCAGGGGAGGAGGAGGAAGAGGAGGGAGAATCTCTAGAAATGTCAGTTGAGGAGATCGGTGACAGTGACAATTACCAGATAGGACTGAATGAGGGGGAGAACGTGAAATTTGTTCGTGATGTAGCTCTAAGCATTGCTAAAGATATGGCTGTCACAGAAAATGGAGAGACTGTATTTAACTGTAACTTTTGTAGTTATAAGACCAACGTTCTGGGTAGGTTAAGGCGACATATCACAGTACATACTGGGAAAGAGTTCAAATGTCCTTACTGCAGTAAAGCCTATACTGAGAAATGCAAGCTTACTGAACACATCAAGGTAAAACATGAGAAGTCAGTTAGCTATCCATGCCCCAAGTGCTCCAAGGTGTTCACCAGTAAGCGTGGACTGGAATATCACAACATCACATTTCATGAGGAGCGAGGCACCACACTGAAGTGTTCATTCTGCCCGAAAGTCTTCAGTAGTAGGTTTGGTTTTACATATCACACTAAGACTGCACACGGTGAAAGCAAGATAGAGGAAAATTTCAAATCGACCAGTGATACTTTAATACCTATGAGCAAGTGGGAAAAATCAACAATGAAAAAGGAAACGGAGAAAGAATTCCAGAAAGACAACAGTGGCATGTACAACTGTAAACTGTGCGAATACAAAACACCACGTATGTTCCACATCAGGAGACATCTTGGCGTTCATTATGGAAACACTAACAAATGTGAACAGTGTGAGAAGACATTTTCAGATTCCTACAAGCTGAGGCTTCACGTTCAAGTAAAGCATGGGAATCTAAGGTTCGATTGTGATTACTGCCACAGAGATTTTGGAACGAAGGAAGGCTTGAAGTACCACCGCCTGTCTGCACATGAAGGGAACTGGAAGTATCTCTGTCCAGACTGTGGCCAGGGTTTCTATCAGAAGCATCACTTCGAAGGCCATGTCAACAAACACAAGGGAATCAAAGCCTATGGATGTAAAACCTGCGGAAAGAAATTTTTCTATCAGTCGGACGTGTCGATACACAAAAAACACTGCGGACAAGAGAAGAAGCCATTGGAAAAACCGACCACATTTGTTTGTCATGTTTGCGGGGACCAGTTCAAGAAGAAAAGTATACTTATTGAGCACGAAAATGGCAAGCATGGACGAATTGGAAACTATGTCTGTGAGTGTGGCGTAAGCTTTAAATGGAGGAACTCCCTTCGTCAGCACAAACAGAGGTGCTCTACTGCAGCAGCCATTTCCGATTACTCAGTCACCGATATCACTGACCTGAGCGGAGCTTCTGACTTCATAGCCATGCAAATCAAACCTGAGCTGGACTCGGATGTTATCAATACAGAGGCTGGGGATATGGAAGCAATGGATACAGACGATAATCAACCTGATGATATTTCCTACTCACAGCAGTCCCCTCCTGAGGACGACACGGAAAGTAACACAGCTGCTGAATTGGAGAACGAAAATGATGACCAAGTGTATGTGGTAAAGGCGGAACCTACAGAAAACGCGGTGTTTCAACATGGGGCAATGCTCACTCCGCCAGGTGTCGCCACTGATGCACTCTATGAGATGCCAGCTTCACAGGTAAGTGACCAAGAAGGTAATGATTCTGATTTTGTGATATACCCTGATGACTCCTCTACTTCTAGTTTTGACGATAAAAGTTCAGGCGAAGACCATTCAGATACTGAGGAGGAAACGGATGCTTGGTTTGATTATTCCTCAAAATCAAATAAGAATCTCAAGAGACGGCTATCATTGATGGAATCAAGAAATGAACCTTCTGGAAAACAGTTCAGATGTCCCCGTTGTGGAAAGGTCTTTAGGGTGCGAAATGCCTTCCTTAAACATCGAAGCATTTGTCACCGAAAAGCTGTAATAAGGAGAAGTGTTATTGAGATGTACGTTTGTGGATTCTGTGATGGCAGATTTTCAAACAAGGCACACTTTAAAGAACACAGCAAAACGCATCAAAGGAAAATGAGGAAAAAAACCAAAATGCAGCAAAGTTTCAGAAAGAAGGCAAAGGAACAGCTCCTGAATATTGAACAGAGTAAGTCAACCCTAGAAAATAGCCATGAGGAAAATGTAGAAACACATTTCCAGACGGACATGGTTTTTGACATTCCCGTGGATCATAGTGTGGAAAATGGAATGGAATCAGACAGTGAAGCTCAAGTAACGTGCATGTTACAAGATGAGAGTATATCTTCTGGTAACATAGATCACACCTTGGTCAGTAATCCTGTTACTCCAGAGGAAACACCAGCTACTTTGAATGTCAGACACACAAATGACAGTGGACATTGTGATGAGCAACCCCAACGCGTACAATCTGGCCCAGTAGAACATGTTCAGGATTTAGATCATACACACAACAACAGATCTACCAAAACACCTGTGGAATCATGTAACATGTCGAAGCATTCTGATCAAGGAAAGGATTTCCCATTTGTAAATGTTGCTGTTGTGGATTTGAGCAATGCACAAAATTATCCAAATAAGGATGTAGACAGTGGATGGGATTTGTCAATAAAACCGAATCACTCAGGACTAATGCAAGAAAAAGAAAGAAAGAAATCAGAATCGGCGTCTTCTCTCCAGGTTGAGGAAGGCCAAAGAAACAACTTATCAGCGGAGTTCCAGAACTCTTTTACGTGCGAAATATGTGGAGCTACTATTGACGACCACGAGAAGTACATCAACCACATATCCCTTCATGCTGTCACCAGAATTCAAATGTTTCAGGAGCAGCAAAATAACTCTAATAAGGACCTGAACACGTGTGGTAGTGAGTCTGGGTCTTTGCAGACATCAAACTGGAATACAATGGAGGCAGAAAAGAATAATTTCACATGTAATATTTGTGGTGATGTTTTCTTGAAAAGGTCCTACTTGAAAGAACACATACTTGGGATGCATGGGAATGTTAATAGATATAGTTGTGTGTGTGGTGAAAGATTCAAATGGAGAAGTTCACTGAATCTACACAAAGAAAAATGTCCATCTTCTCCATCCAGGAATATTTCAAACGGCCAGAAACACTTACCAATTAACAGACCACCAATTAACAGACCCAATAGTTCAACTGCATACTCCTTCAAAATTGGTAGTAAACGGAAATCTCCAGCTTCAAGGTCATCTTTACCTCTCCCACCTATCTCCTCATCGTTATCACCAAGGATGCTGCCAGGGATTTCACCTCATTTCATGGATACGAGAACCTCCTCAGTGTTAGGGATGATTCCACCTCATATAAGTCAAACAACGTCATACACACCGGTAATGGAAACACATGTTCAGGCTGGAGAAATGTATCTGCACAGTGTTCCAGTCAGTGCTACTTCTACAGAAAACAAACTACCAGAACAGCAAACTCATGGCCATTTTCCATCTCTTTCATATGAGAGAAGTCCTCCTCGGTCTGGTAACAACGTTCAACGAAAATCTTCTGACAATGGACTTCCCAGTCAAAGTGTTGTGCCAACTGGGATGTTCAGGAGCAATGGTTCAACAGATTTTTCATTCCAAGTGCCTGTTTCAAAAGAACAGGGTATACCACAGCAGTGGTCAAGTAGCTCTACCTCAGATATAATTCAAAGTCAACAGCAGCAGGAAACTGAAAAAGTTATAGGAAATGAAATTAGGATAAAACAGGAGGTGATCTCATTTGATGAGGAACCTGATACCAGGATAGAAATGAATGAAACTGTTATAAATCAGCTCATGTTGGCTGCAGCAGAGCCAGCTGGAAATGTGGATGTGCCTAAAACTGAACCCTATCTCGTGAGCAATACTAGACCTGAACACCAGATAAAACATGAACAAAGCTCGTACAGCTGTAGCATATGTAAGAAATATTTCCGAACACAAATCGCGTACACTGACCATATGAACAAGCATCGTGGCATCAAGCCGTATCCCTGTACTAGCTGTGGCATGTCGTTTCACTACCAGTCTATTCTTAGTTCACATAAGAAAACGTGTGGTGTGGCAGGAAATAACATGTACAAGTGCCACATCTGCGGTGACACTTTTACTGTGCGGGGTTACCTGAGGGAGCATGTTCTTGGGAAGCATGGCGATGCGCGCAGGTACAGCTGTCGGTGTGGCGCCACCTTCAAATGGAGGAGCTCGCTTGGCAGCCATCAAAAGAAATGTCCACTCACTGGCAAAAGCTACATGTAATGGAATTAGCTTCTTCGTGGAGGAGTGCACCTGGTACTGCTAGACTTGAAGTTCTTCTATATTGTCATTGTATTACCTGTAGATTCTTCATATCTGTTGATATTACACTTAAACAATGGCTCTTGTTATAAATATCATTCTAGTTCTTATTACACTTAAACAGTGGTTCTTGTTATGCATATCATTCTAGTTCTTATTACACTTAAACAATGGTTCTTGTTATGCATATCGTTCTAGTTCTTATTACACTTAAACAGTGGTTCTTGTTATGCATATTGTTCTAGTTCTTATTACACTTAAACAATGGTTCTTGTTATGCATATCATTCTAGTTCTTATTACACTTAAACAATGGTTCTTGTTATACATATCATTCTAGTTCGGTACATTATGATGATGACACATGATTTGAAAAGCACACATTTTACAAATAATTTAATAATTTGATAAAAAAACTAGCCTACCTTTATATTATATTAACCTATACAATACATCTATTTATAAAAATGTTTAAAAGATTTAGTGCACTACACGTATATGCATGAATAAATGTTTTTTTAAAGATGAATCAGTTCATCTTTTTAAGCAATGATTTATCAAACATGAGTTTATCTTGCAACTCGTACTCTCAAAACTCTATTTTCTCCATTTTAGAAACAGGACAGCTAGGGTCCTCTGTGAAAATGAAAGAAACACATCTGAGCTAGATGGGATGAGTATCTAGTAAAGAAAGTGTTTCTGTATGCTAAACTTAACTTTTGGAAAAATTTAAAAACATTAATTTGTTACTGTTTTACCAACCTTTTTGTTACCCCATACAACAAAACCATTTTATCTTAAACCAATGGCCTGTTCAAATACAGACTGGTGCAGTTAAAGATGAAAAATGAGTTTTGATGGTTTCGCTATAGCGAATGTGAGGAAAATTACAGAGCTTAATGTACATGTTGGTGAAGCAGGTGTATTGATAATACTTCAAATGATACCAAACATTTAAAAGACTTTTTGAGAAAAAAGAATTCAACCCACCATGTCTAGCTCAGATGTGTTTCTAGATCTAGAGAAAAATATAGGGTTTCAAATGTTTAGGAAAATTCAACATAAAGAAACGCCATCTGATTAATTGTGGACATTTGCATTGATATGAGATCCTCAGATGAACATTTATAGAGTCTAAGATATTTGATATGTAAACCAGCAAGTTTGCTTGGCAGGTGTTCTTTTTGTTATTTATAATAGAAACCATTATTTTGCCTTTGTTACATTTAGTTGTACAACCATGTAGTCATTTTACGTTTCCTTCTTTGTTGTAATGAATATATGCATATGGTATGCATTTTTCGGTATGCTTCAGGTTTATTTTCTGTGATAAACAATTCTTATTTGATTCTGGCACATTTTACGAACAATGCTTAAGAGCATGTTTAAATTTTAAGTAAAGACATGTACTTTGTAATAAAAATAAAAATAAAATACTGGACGCAGGCATAATGCCTATATATCCAGATCACAAAGTTTTAACATTAGTTTATATAACAGTAATAGGAACAATGAAAAAATAATAATGAAATGCCTAGGCCTTCGTTATTAATTTAAAGTAAACTGCTACTTGCTGAAATTTTAGGAAAGGTTTATTTTTTATATATATATATGTTCATATGGAGAGATTGTAAAGAGATAATTAACTATTCCATTATCTCTTATCAAATTTAAGTGAGCTTTAATCAAATTGAAATATTTGCAATTTCACAAATAAATTGTGTGAAGTAAATGTAATATTATAGTTGTAAATATTGATTTAGAGTAAACATTGCACAAGTAAATTTAATATTGTAGGTGTAAATATTGATTAAGAGTTAACATTGCACAAGTAAATGTAATATTATAGTTGTAATTATTGATTTAGAGTAAACATTGCACAAGTAAATGTAATATTGTAGTTGTAAATATTGATTTAGAGAAAACATTGCACAAGTAAATGACACTGCCAAAAACTAAAACTATACATAAAGACCAACCCAGCGATTTTCATTAAAGTATATCAATGTATTATAAACAAAGTTTAATACCAATTAGTTAAGATATTATACCAGTATATATAATGAATTCAGTGAATATGAGCTGATGGTAAATTTACAGAAGTGTTCCCATGTTTCATTATTTTTGATGTTTTTATCTTGATGTAAAATTTAAGGAGTTTTTTTACACTATTTTCGCCATAGTGTTTTGGTGTTTTTAAATTGATCTGGTCTGAAATTAAGATGGTACCATAATTATGGTGCATCCTCAATACTCTAGGGGTTATTTTAATTTACGCTCTCTGCACCCCTAGAATATGTCATGATGAAATTAGAGGCTGTGTTCGATAGTGCATGATAGACGTTAGACTAGTTTGATCCTATGGTGTACATCAAAAGAACTGCGGCAGCGTTACAGTAAAATCAACTGGCTTTAAAGTTGAGTTGTTGCTCCTCTGTAATTCTCAAAGGACAAGTATCAACCTAGCGATTTGTCAATTTGTTTTACCCGAGACCAATCAAGCAGCTAGCTGTGATGAGCGTTTGATTTTGCTGTGACATATTCAAGTGGTGAGGACAGTTTAAGTGAGTGTAACCCCTGGAGTATGTTAGATGGTTATGGCGTAGGCTCTGTAGTCTGCATCTTGTGATCCTAAAACTTTAAAATTCAGAGAATAACAGCCAAATTTAATCCAACTAGACACATATATAGCTTGGTTTGATTTGTAGTATTGTGAAGAAAGCAAACAATCTAATCCAATTTTGTTTTTGCCGGTGTGAAATTGAGAACTGTAGGGTCACCTTCAAAGGTTGTCAAGGCAGTGATGTGCTGGTCAAATGGCGAGCACGTGTTAAAAAAGTACTAAATACAGCATCTGTGGAGTGTTTTTCTTCTTATAAAGATACAGTAATTGTTGTAGTATTTGATAATTGTCAGATGGCAACGTCAAGTCAGACATTACATTTAAAACTTGTGAGCAGTGTACATACATGTAGGTGCTCTGGTATTGTATTCTTTTCTGAATGTACTTTAAGGTTCTATTGGCTTACTGTTGGTTATATATAATATTAATGCCTACAGTAAAACACACAACATAGGGCCAATAGTTGGGGTACCGGTCTTGTTGGGGTCTAGTTGGTATGTATTTCACAACATAGGGCCAATAGTTGGGGTACCGGTCTTGTTGGGGTCTAGTTGGTATGTATTTTCTTCTTCTGTTACATAGTATTTTTCATGTGTTCTAATATTGTTATTTCAGGATGATTATTATGATGGGAGGTAGAAATCTGCACTGGTACAATGGAGGTCACACCTGGATGGCTGACGACCTTCTGTTTCTATACTGTCTCCATATACTTCTAGCTTCTCTGTATATAAAGTGTACTGATATGCAATCTTGCAATTCAATATTTTTCAACATAGCGCACCTTTGTCAATCGTTCAGTGTTCATCGAGTGATCTGACTAAAAAAATAAAATACAAGTGCTCATCCTAATGAATCAACTTTGACCTTGAACATTGTTCTATATTGCGTATAGCTATTGATATTTTACTTCATTGAATTAATATTTTACTTTGTTGAATTGTTATACATTTCCAGTTCTGTATGAAATTAATGTGATTTATAATGTTAACCGTAGAATGTAGCTTATTTTCGAAAGCAATATAATTATGTTTTTTCTTATATTTGTATTTACATATATTTCTTTTGGAGTTGGGGGGGGGGGGGGGGGGGGGGGGGGGGGTTAAAAAATAAAATCATATTTAAATTACCATCATGTTTTTGTCTTGCTGGTCACTTTACTAGATTTACATGCACAAGAATATGTTACTTTGATTCGTCGGCAATTCTTTCTAGCAATGATCTTTTTCGCCTTGGACATGATCTTTCTCTAGTCTCCATGTTTTTCTCTTGCTGTTTACATTTAAAAAAAATGGTTATTTTTTGTTACTTATGGAAGCATTTTTTTCATGGACTTTTCAGAAAGTTCTGCTTTCTATATAAGCTGTCTTTTCCTCCTGATTATGATTTCATCTTAAATTGTTGAATTTCTTGTGCTGATATCACGTTCTGGATCTGCCGTTTTAAAAGGTCATATTTGTAAGTTAGTAACTGCATAATAAAAAGTTCAATTAAACTCATATCAACGTTTTACACAGACTATTGCCTGATGATCAAAGCACTCAGCCTGTATTGAGTGGATTGTTAGGTGGGTTTTTTTTATGTCCCGTTCACATCTATGAAATTTAAGAACCTGTCGGGGGGGTTGATGGTGGAGGAAAATGGGAGTGCCTGGAGAAAATCCACCAACCTGTGACCAGTACCTGGCGACCGGACCACGTAAACCTCAAACCCGAGGCTAGGTGGTCTGTTGACACACATGCTTTTCAGGGTCGCCAGGGTTTGATTCCTTGATTTGTGGTGAAAAGGTACGGGGATCACTTGCCTGATCACGTGGGTTTTTTCCGGGTACTCCAGTTTGCTCCTACAATAAGACCTCATGCATGCTTACATCTGGGCCAACAAGAAGGATTAATATAAGTTGAAATAACTTGTTTCATAATTGTTGTAATAAATAAAGTTTACAATGTATATAAATCCATGACCCAGTGGTCATGGACTAATGACCGTAGACGGTCAGACGCCTTAACCACTGGGTCACTGCTGCCTCTTATGTTGAGTGGAAAGTGTGTGATTGGAATAATCAGTTAGGTATGAGTGTGTAACTTGTACTGATAATGTTTAAAACAAACAGTAGAGTGTTGTCCCTTGTCTTTGTATGTGATATTTACTCTGAAAGGGTTGGTTGTCAAATAGTAAAGGTTTTATAATTCTATTATATATATATATGAATATCTTACACAGGAATCTCAATAAAGTGTGTTTTCTGATTTTATATTACTCCTATTATGTATACAATAAATTATTGTCCAAATTTTTCTCGCATAAGTACCTGATATATGATAGAACGGTGTTTTAAGATATGTATGTGTTTGTTCATATATTCGGATGCTGATAATCTTTTTTTTTATTTTATTTTTATTTTTAAAACCCTTTCACCCCTAGATAACTTAAGTAGACTCCACCATTCATTTATCTGGATGAATCAATTATAGTCTACAGTGGTGAAAGGGTTAAATAATAATATCAAATTTGAATCTATGTGAAACAAATTATATATACTGTATACGTTTTTTTGCAAAAAGAAGTGTCCAGGTGACAAGAAACAAGTATGTTTTTTCTTGTTTGTTTACTCTAATAAGAGCTGTTATTGTGCACGTCTGATCACCCAGTGCTTCAAAGTATGGGTAACCTGTTGACAGCAGATCATTACCAGAATCTAATTATTTTGTTAATGCAGTTCTTGCGTTTATCCAGCTTGTAAAGATTCAAAGTGATCATCAGTTGATAAATATGAAAATCACAGGAAGATGTGAACTTCAAGATTCTCAGATTTTATTAAATAAAAGATGTTGTAATTTGTTATACGTGTAGATGGAATAGCTTTGAACACCTTAAGAAGGTTCAATATACATTTATATACAAACACTGTATGATTGTAAAGAAGATTGATATGATATGATTAGTTTGTGATCTGTATAGATGATTTCATATAGGAATATATAGGAATAAATATTACATATACATTTAAACATATTTACTTTGTTCTTGGTAATATTTCTTTAAATATATTTATGTAGAAGATGTGCATCAATTGTTTATATATTGGTGAAACCACAGCTTTAATAATCTGTGTGTGACTCCATGCTTACAAAATAAAAGTAAAGCAGAGATTGTGATATATATGTGTTAAGTTTATCCCTTGATTGTAATTATACTCCATCTGTCCTGGCGTCCATCCATAAGCCTGAACAACTTGCCCAGGGCATATCTCCTATGCTATTGTACCTGGTGTAATCAGATTAGGTATATGCAAGTACATCTTGGAATGGTAAAGTACAAAGTACAAGAAGTCATTTCCAAAATTGTCCCGGGCATATTTTCTATACTAATCACCTGGAGTAATCAGATTTTGTATGTAAGAAGTTCTCGGGATGGCAGAGTGCTTAGGTCAAGAATTAGGTTACTGTGACCATTGCTTTGACCTTTGACCTCAGTCGTTGAAAACATTTGTCTGAGGCATATCTCCGTACTATTTCACCTTGTATATCCATAATTAGTATGCAGGTACATCTGTAGATTGCGCTGTGCATTGTACAAGAAGTAGATCAGTGTGACCTATGGTTTGACCATTGACCTTATTGATCAGGATTAACCAGATTTCGTATGCAGGTTACGAAAAGTAGCTTATTTCGATTGTATGATTTGACTCCTTACCTCAGACATGGTTGGTTTTCTTTACTATTTCTCCAGGAGTAACCAGATTTGGTATGTAGATCTACATGTACTCAGATGTACAAAAAATCCATTTCTGTATCAGGATATTCATTTATACTTTCCTCACAATAAAAATAGTGAAAACAGAAACCAGTAATTTTTATTACGAAAAGAAACAAAAATACGCAATTTTCTAACAAATAGAATAACTGAAAAATATTCGATGTTGCACATTTACGAGTTCAAATCTTGGTTGTCTTGAATCCAAACAATTATGTATTACTGATTGTTTTAAATGTCTGATCATATACATGTATCAATGCGAATTATTAAAAACAAATAAGCAACCATTTTACATATTGATCTAGTGAAAATATAAACTACTGATGAAATATATTACTGATTATATAATATGGATAATATAAAAACACCCGACATCCTTGTGGTGGATAATATATGTAATACACAGTAAAACAAGTACACAAGACTGACCGCTATGCTTTCTGTCGTCTTGGTCTTCTTCTGGCGGACCCATAAAGTAGACTAATAGTGGTAATATATACTTCTGTTACATGTATGTTTAAGATTGATAATATATCGGTAATAATATATCCTAAAGTTTATACATACTAGTAACAACACCATTCTGTAAAATGTTTAAAATTATCTTATATTAAACATAATTTTTCAGCGATACACACATTTACAAAAAGGTATTAGTTTGTTCACTCCTAGTAAAAAAGTAATATTCAATTATAGCCTTAGGCTTTGGTCGATACCTGGATTTATTGACCTGAGAAAAGATATATTGACAGAGGACGCAGTCCGAGGTCAATATATCTTTTCTCGGGTCGATAAATCCAAGTATTAACCGAAGTCAAAGGCTACAATTGTTTTATTATTTTCAAAACAGTAATGTTAGCAATCTGAAAAAACACAGCAAAAAGCTATGGAAGCGGGACGATAAGTTCGTTTGGAGACACATCACTATTCTATTTTTAGAAACACCCAGTCCTTCAACAATAATTAATCATGCGCCCCAAGTCAATATCGGTTTTTATCGGCGAACACGTGATTCACTTCTGGCCAATCACTTGTCGGGAATAATATGAAAAAATAATAAACATAAATATCGCCTATTATATGTCTTTGTAAGACAGATGTGATCCTCTTACCAAGGCTCTCTCTTTATATGGTGAAAAAGCAGTTTCTAGCCGAAATTGACAATATTGAGGATTTTAAGCGTTTCTACACCAAGAAGACACACCTATTACATGTATAACGGAAAATGATTTAGGTTATGTATTTATTACCAAAACGAAACTGTAAATTAGTGGTAATATACCAGTGATGCTATAAAATAGTGATAATATATTTTAATGATATAATAGGGCTCATATGAAAACGTAGTGTTACATATACCTCTGATAATGAATACATTATATAATATATATTACTGGTTATAAGACATGTTTAGGACATTTTGTACCAATAACCACGGAATTCTGTATTGTTAATGATTTGCTTGATATCAAACATTATTTAAGAAAGACTACACTTCGAACTGAAATTCACAATATTGAGGATTTCCATTCTGTACAAAGAGACATATTGAACTTACTATTTTAAGCAAATTCTTTCAGACTCCTGATTGCATCATCCTTGGTTAATGTTTTCCACGATTGCGGGATTGTGGCTTTTTTCTTATTATAATACTTGGCAAGTTCTTCGTTATAGGTGCACAAAACCCATGCCCAATATTTGGATGATGAAATTTCTGGACAGGGATGAATATCCCAGTCCTGAAAGTACTTTTGGTAAGCTTTGTAGGGATGATACTCGTCAGTTTTGCCATGCCCAGTACATATTCCTCCACATTTTGCAGAACATAGAAAGCGACGATCAGACTGCACTTGAAAACTACAACTCTCCAATACAAGTATATCTGTGTCTTTCCAATGTCGTCCTGTAACGCCACCTGCTCTATGCTGGATGCACGAATGGTTACTCGTATGTTTATCATTCCATTGGCATGGCTCAGAACAAAAAGGACAGACAGCTTTACAACCCCAGAGTTTGTCCATGGATATTCGGTAAGGGGTTTTATCATTATACCATCTGATTGATGTTTCTGTCTCGCTTTGAAACTTGCCTTTTAGTTCTGAGCGCACCTGTTCAAGTTTTCTTTTGACAGTTGCAATGAAATGGTTTAAATCTGTTATCTTTTGGTTCTCAACTACAACAAATGACTCCATTTGAATCCATACCATACCCTTCTTCATCTCACTTTGTACATTTATCAGCCAATCATGTAAACACGAAGCCGATTTCTTTTCAACACTTTTTTCAATAACTTTGAATGTAGTCTGCAGTTCTGCCGATACCTTATCCATATACATGTTTCCCGAACGTCCAAAACACTTACTATCAATGTATTCTGATAACCATTCGAATGCATAAGTGTAAGGATCATGAATATAACTCATGAACGCTTTTGATTTGTTTATCTTTACAAGATCTTCCATAATACGATTTGTTAATACATACTTTGCTTTCATGAAATCCGTAACTATATGATCATATAGCAAATCTGGAAGAGAGCGTTTAATTTTTTCCTCAACATGATTCCGAATAATTTCACAAAATCTGTCACAAGCAATCAAGGTAGCTGACTTTTCATCAACAACATCATGAAAATGGCGCCAAACGAGCGCTTTATGATTGCTCAATTTAGCTTTCATACTATATTTTTTCCTGTATTCTGCATCAAGTCTTTCTAACAACGGGAGAGCGTATCGAAACACATGTACACAAAGTGTTACTGTGTAAGGTTCGAGAAGTGTAAAGGTCTTGCTTTTATCATGGTTGTGTTGATTTATATGTCGCATAATACGTTTAGGGATTTCTTTCATTTCCGTCGCATCAAATTTCCACTCCCTTTTTTTATGATCTCTGAATATCACATCTATGTCTTTGAGTATTATATTGGTGAAGTCGATAGCTTCATAATATATCTTAGATTTTGCACCGGATCGCAAAACGTTCTTTATGCGTTTTAAAATTGTTGTTTTTACGCTGATGTAATTGTCATCAAACCCAAAGTGGTTCAGGCTGTTTTCTAAGGTTGTGAATGATGGATGGCGACCAATAGGATGTTTGTTCATCTCGGTTACGACAACATCCCGATGCTTGTTGAACGTTGCAAATATAATTGATTTCAATACCACTTTGACTTCAATAGAGTGTTCTTCTTGAACATAGATTTTCCTCATCCATTTATCCCACATTTCATTTAAACCTGCCTCCATATCTAGGGGAGAAGGTCGCTTACCTTTCATATGTTCAGCTAGGGTTGATGCCTGGTCGTAAATTTCGTTTTGTAAGGTTGTAAGAGAGGTATTCATTTCGTAATCAACTCTACAGTGTGATTCAATATCCGTTAGCTGTCTTTTGAGCTTACCCAGGCAATCTTCAGCAAACAAGTCCCATGCCAAAAGTTTGCTGTGTTTCCATTTTGCAATTTCATCTTTTTTGTCACCCTTTTCAAAACGATTCTTCAAATTTCCCTTCAGTTCCGATTGTTTTTTTTGGAAATCATCGGGATATTTATTGTGTATATGGCCTGTATATTGATCTATTCCACGACCTTTGACTATGTCCGTTTCACAATCATCAGTACACTGTTTCATTTCGATTTCGGCACTGTTTGTAAGATGTTTTGCATATTTCTCTAATTTCCAGATTAAATCCTGGTAAATGATTTCCAGTGCATTGTATGCTCTTATTTCTAAACTATTTCTAAAACTGAAAACAAAATCATTTGCTAATATACCGTTCCATAAGTCTTTTATGTGAACAAAACTATCGGAAATTGTCAGATAAGAATCCTTGTTTTGAGTCAGTGTTTCAAATATAAAAGATTTTACTTGCCGGACATTCCTACTGTATCCAGGATTAGCAGGGGCCATCGGTGGATCCCCTTTCCACAAATCTGAAAAGTACCATACATGGTGATTGCTATCAAATTTGATTACGTCTTTGAAACATTTTATGTCACTGATGTTTTCTTCCTCTGCCGCCTCCAGTGTCATTCTATCTAATGTTTCGGCAAGTTTTTTTCTTGCATGTATCATAGAATCTTTAGCTCCAACATCAGAAACATTTTGATGTATGAAAATGCATGACTGGCGCAATTGTAGACTTTGGTTTGCCATTTTTAATCGAAGGAATGCATGGACGCAAATCTGTAAAATGTCTTTTACTTCGCTGGTATTTTCGCCCTTTATATTAACAATGGTTATGTCTGCCATTCCTAAAACTAAGGTTGCTAGTTCGTTATCATGCTGATATTTCTGATCACCCAGTTCTGGTGCCCGTAATCCTTCTGTGTCGACTACAAGCACATAGTCGAATTTAAACTTTTGTTTTCGTACAGGAAAAAGTTGTACATAAATACCACGGGTACATCGACCTGCACTTACTGAAAATGTCAGACCGAACATCGCGTTAAGTAATGTTGATTTACCTGAACTTTGAAGTCCAAGAATAGACAATGTGAGTAACCTTTTGTCACCTAGCATATGTTGAAGTTCTGCAAAGACTCGTTCTACCCATTTCAGTGGAACATTTGCTACATCACCATCCATCAACTCAAACGGGTAGCCTAGTTTAATTGACCTTGCTACTGCTTTGGCTAAGTTCGTACACAACTCCTGGTCATTTGCCATCAGGCTCGCCTCGTAAATTTGACCCAATTCACGGAAAATATGTTCGATACCAAACGACGCTTCGCTGAGATGCTGTTCAGCTTTACTGACTTCCTGTTGGGCTCGAACTTTATCAGCTTCTGCTTTGGATTGACATGCATTCCATGCGGCTGCATAACGTTCGCGATAGTTTGGCATTTCCCTTCTAGATTTTTCATCTAACTCAAATTTTAACGAGTCTAAAAAAGAAACCAAACTGTCACCATCCAGTGTTAAAAGTATTGATATGAAGTCTGTAATAAATGGTTTTCCAGTCTTGAAACTATCCCATTGTTTTGTTTGTTGTAATATCATTTTCTGCTCCAACTTTGCTTTTTCTTGAAAATCAGAACTTGGCTTGCGATATGATTTCATAACATCAGTATATATTTGCCAATTTTCTTTTTGTAATGGTGTATATTTCACCTTGATTTCTGGAAGAGGACAATCTTTTACCTGGTTAAAAATGTTATTTGCTGCTTTTCTCCCGTTCTTGTATTTGGGCATATCCTCATCTACAGCTATACCCATCGTTCTCGCTTGCTCACACATTTCCTGTATAGTTTTAGCAGAACTCATGCCATTAAGCAATGGTCCAATTTTATTTACAATAGCTTCTTTAACTTCTGATAAACCGATGTTTTTACCTTGTTCGGATCCTGAAATAAACTCGGCGTTAAAACCATCTGGACTTGAGTCCATGTAATATTGTTTATACTTCCTTATAAAATATTTTGACACTTCTCCTGTAAGAAGAAACAACACATTGAAATGAGCACGTTTAAAGTAATCCAAATCTTTTTTGTTTTTCATTGTCTCTTTGTCAGTGACTATTATCATGACATGCGATACACTTTTCAAATATTCTGTTTGCTCTGCATTGTTTAACGCATCGCCTCTTAGATTTAGAAATACTGTAACTCGTTGCAAATTCCTAGGTTGCTTTGGAGAAGGTAAAAACCAGGAAGCCTCAACAAGTCCGACACTTGCTTGTTTCTCACTCGAACCCAATATGCAATCGTAATTGAAGAATGCATTGTGAGCTGTGTCATACAAAAGTTCATTTGCAAGTTTTGATTTCGATATTTGTGGACGTCCTAATCTTATAAATGACACAATATTTTGTTTACAGTTTACTATGCTTGTATCTGTTTTTCCATCGTGAACCGTTATTGACCGAAGAGGCCACATCGAAAACATTAAAATGGTTTCCTGGTGTTTGTGCTTTTTGACTGGAAAAAATATTGGTATCGCCAGATGACATGCAAACATTTTTAAACATACTTTTTGTTTCAATGTAGGATGTAAGCAAATAAAGATCGATAAGAAAATATCTACCGGGCTACGCCGATCTAAATTTGATATTGATTTTTCTTGGATGTCTTCATAATTGTCTAACATTGAAAGAAAATCCTCATTTGGTATGGAAGAGTTATTTTCTTTACACTTAACTGACGGATCGTCTCTTAATCTCTTCATATTGTTTAAGCATATGCTTAAATCGTTTTCTCTACTAGTAAAATCAAGCATGATTAATTTATGTAGAATTAACCTTGGGATATCTGCTAGTGTATCTGCCTCGTCTTTTTCACAGTCGGATATAGCCATCACACTTGCGTAAGTCAGCGGATCTGGAAAGTAGCGTCTTAAATCTAATTCATCAATCAGTCTGGCTTGATGATCTGAAACAAATAATAGAAAGACGAAAAATATAGCTCATTTGTTTATATTTGTTATGTTCATTGGATTATTTTTTTAAACGTGAATTAAATTTGTTGTGGGCTCACAATCCTTCCTCAAATTAACACACAAGGAGTACATGTACAGGTAATATTTTTCGTCATTTGTGTTATTTAATGCGGTGTCTGTTCATAAAGATTCTGTTTTCAATTGTCACTTTTCAAACAAAATAATCAACACCATTTCAACAAACCGTTTAAAAAAATGTCATAATTTTACATCGTTCTCTGTACTTGATAACCAAACTACTTCCACAATTTCACATTTGGAGGAAAAGCAACTTTTCTACACTGAAATGAGCACAGATTAAATGCCTTAAGCGCGATCAAATGATCATTTATATCAATTTTGATAAATGTTTTGAGTTTAACCAGAATATGACGTAAGTTGTCACAACTATGAATAGATGAAATAGTAACAAGTGGTCAAAGGTAATTTAAGACGCATACCTGATTTTAGTGGCATGTCTTTTGTGCAAACAAGCTAGAAACCAAATTTCCTTATTTTTTGTTATAAATTTGACCATTTGAGGATTTTAAGAAATAAGATCCTCATGATTTACAAATGTGTCAAGGTTATTTTTTTCATGAACCTCGTAACGCTTTCAAACAAGTTTCAGTCAAGATATCATGACTCCAATCACTTGCTTCTTCAGAGTGTTAAAACGAATGTGACCCTTTGAATACATGTCATCGTTATTTCTTTTCTCTAACATTGTTCCACTCCATACAATTAAACAACAGACCACCGATTGTGGTTCTAGACTCTTTGGTTCTTATGAAGAAAAATGTATTTACATATCTGACCATAATGACCTAGACTATATGTCAACATCATATTCTTTAAAGGCTCTAGTAAACACATTGGAAGTTTGGAGGCTGGTAAAGTGTTAAAACAAATTTGACCACTGTAACCTTGAAAATAACTAAGCTCATGCTGGTGATCTTGAATACAGATTATAGTTATTTTTTTCAACAGTTTGTATTGCTAAATGCTAGCACGTTTCTGGTAAAATATCGTTCCCGTTCTTCGTAAAAAGACAGTTGAATATTTGAAAAAACAAATATTGCGAAATATGTTGCAGTACGCCCCTATTGCCCCCCTTTTTTAATGAAAAAAATCTTTTTTGTCCTGTTTAGGCCTATACAATACCCCAGATCTCATCCTTAGGCAAATCTGTTCCCCGTCACATAGGAAAAATGCATAAAAATGCGGTTAAAATGTGTTCAGTGGTTATTTAGAGTAGTGACCCTACTCTATCTAAATTAGCACGGAAGAAGTCGGAAAGAAATTAAGAAATGTCTCGGCCAATCAGAGGACACGAAGTATATATATTTAATTCTAGCTAAAAAATAACAGCACTATGTCACTGATACGTGTTAAAATATTCTGATAGAATTTGAAAATGTCTCCAAATCTTAATTTCCTCTATTTAGCACCTGTCCACTCACAGAGAAAGATATCATTTTGTACTTAGTGTAAATGGTCCTACTGCATCAGTTATAATCGCGAGGAAGAGTTCCACTCAAAGTTTTGTTTTGTATGAAAGATGAAGCAACTCAAAAAAAAGATTTATTTTCTGACATATAGTAACTTTCCCTTTCAAGTATTTCATGGGCCTTGAGACCCATACATCTGTACATTGAACACTTTTTTTTTTATCATTTACAGTAAAATTTCCAAGATGGCAAAGTTGATAAAGTGTTGGTTTTGTAATTTAAATGCCCCGAGTTCAACTCCTGCTGAATTTATATTTATCATTTAGTTCTATTTTGTAATCGGTAAAGTGCATGGCAACATTTGTTTTTTATGGAACACTTCTTTTGAAAATGACTTAAACGCACAGTTCACAATGGTGACAATGATACTATCGTTTCACTTGATGGTACCCTTTACCGTAATAATAATCATCATTTTCAAAGTTCGGACACTGAGTTACATGTACCATGTTTCAGTTTTATACGAAATAAAACTCTCTTGGCCAAGAAATGCTTCATAGGAAAAACTCGTTCAACTATACTTAGTTTCTGCATTTATTATCTCGAATACCCGTGTTGAGATCCGTTCCTTTACGCCTTAGAGAGTCACACCCATCATTTTTTACCGTAATATCGCCATTGGATGCTTCAAATTACGTTCAAATTGTCTTTCATTCGTACTTAATAACTATTATTTTGAATATAAGTCCTATTCGTCCACCATGGATACCAAACCCTTCAGTTATACATTAAATCTGATTGACCGAATGTTGTTTCCTATGAAAGTAGATAAGAAAATGAAAGCCATTTCGTCTTTTACACCGGAACCCCAACCCTTTTATATACTGCATGTTCAACAGCTTTATACTAAAAATAAAAAAAAGAAACATGACACAATGTTTATGTATAAATATAAATTAAATATGTTGTAATTACCTTCGGAAAGCTGTGAAAAAGTAGACAAAAACGGCGAAGACTGTGTCACCTGTCAAATAGAATAAAATACGTCAGCATATAAATAACTGATTTAAATAGAAGCAATCTCATGTCTCTAGATGTATTCTTAGTATGGGTTTATTGCACAATGGCGCTTCGAAATTTTGTCTCCCCCCAATCTTATGCGGTTCTAGTAATTGCTTTTCGCAAAACAATATAACATTACCACAATGTATAACGCTATTTGATATTCTGATTTAAATTGCCAACAGTCTTATTCATGAACTATTCTTTAGATGTATCATTAGACTTAATGCCGAAAGGTATTCGCCATTGTTCTGAGTACTGTTTAAAAATAGAAAATAAAAATATATCATGTCATAAATATATAGAGGATATTTAATGGTTGACCGTTGACTACCACCATATCTATTTCACGAGTATGACAGAATCTCGATATATTTTTATGAGTGCGAAGCACAAGTGAAAATATCGTTACGTTTTTTTTAAATCATCACGTGGCAAATATTGCTGCATCGAAAAGCGCGGGAAATAGTATTATATTATTTGACAGCAAGTTATAATGACGTCACGCTTGACAACAACGTAGAGTGCCTTGCTGAATGAGTAACCCAACGCAAGTTTGATGCCATATTCTTGTTAGATTTCCAACTAATATGAAATCAATTGTGTAGTTATGTAAATATCATACTGTTTGTTGGAATTATTCAGCTCCCGCTTCATCTGATCAGAAAACTGAATACTTTTGCTGTGAATAGAAAGTACCGTTCTGTTGGGACAATATAATTTTATTCTATTTTCTCATGTGAAGATATAACATTTAATATATTTTCGTCATTTGTTTTATAAATGCAAATTTTCTAAATTCATATTTAGCTGTATAATTCAGATGTAATTATGATTATCGTTCTTTGTCCTGAATTCTGTATAATGTACAGTAACTGTTAAGTGTTTTAAAAGTCAATGGAGTCAATTAAATATTTGTCAAAGAGACATCCGTGTTATATTAATGCGCGATTTAGTTCCGATTGTATTTCATCAATCTTTAAAAAAAAATATGATGGGTGAACATATATCTAATATTTATATATAGCATAATACTTTAAGTGTTAATGGTGATCAATACCTGCAAACGACCAAACGCGCCAAATATACAGTACCAAAAACATCCTACTCTTTTATTGTACTTGGGTAAATATAAGAAATGATAATGTAAACTTATTTGAATGTTTTAAAATATGTACAACACAAACTTTTTTTTCAGTATATGCGACGTTTGTTTAACTATATAAACATGACCTCCTAATACTTGTCTTGAACAATTTTAGGAATAGCTAGATTCTTTGAATTCTACACTACTCTACATTACGAAAACTAATGAACAACGCTCTTTTTTTTCATTTAAAACACACTTGTAAATGGTTGGCTTCCTGCATCTACAAAGTTTTCAGATGAGTGCTGCATTTTATCGTATTTCTAATTATTAGTAATGATTTATGATCTATTGAAGTTTTATTGAAATATTTCATAAGTAACAGAAACACTTACCTGATGTAAACTTGATGGGGTGTTCTGCCCGTCTTCATCTGCAAATACAAATTTCGAATGTTATATCTACACTTCTTCCTACACCTTAACATATGCAAATAGGCAATTAACTTATGCGTTGAAACGTCTTCATTTTAGTATAATTATATTCAAACTTTGCCTTTACGGCCAAAACGCTAATAAAGTGCAGTAAACTGCTTATTTTGTAGGTCTTTCTGCATCGACAAATAATGTTTTTTACGTTATGTAGGCCTTTGTATTAACCATTCGCTTTCACTTTATTCTGCATGTTTTAAAATATATTGACTGTGGTTAAATGACCACATGATGCTGAAAACAGTATGCAGTTGTTTCCTGCCTTATCAGTCAACAGTCAAAACTATTTCCCGATGAGTTGAGACCAATCATATTAACTATATTTCGAGAACGCTGATTGAAAAGTTCGTCTTGTGGGTCCCAACTCCGAGGGAAATTACTTTGATTGGTTACTGATAAGGCAAGACCAATAAATCACTAAGAGTACGACACAAACATTTAGCATCAGTACTTAACTCACATAACTGCAACAACGCTTCGTCGTTAATGTCTTGAAATATTTTCATTATTTATTCCTAGCGAATGTGGCGGCAGACGATCATCCTACGTTCAAAGTCATCAGAATATTTGAAAATTATATGTGTTCGATTGTATCACACGAGACCAGTCGAACAGTCGAAGGGTAGCAAACATCAGTTTGAGTAAAAACAATAAGAACCGCTTATTATAGAGTCATGTAACACTTAACTTCGTTTTACTTTATGCATAACAAAAATTAATAAAATATGTGTGTTTTTCAATTCATATTTCTAGTAACTGCTTTTGCATTTAGACGTCAGCGTACTACACTACACTGTAGTTAAAATAAAGATATGTGGAATCAATATCACTTTATTTTTTACGAAAAAACAACTGTAAGCTCTAGAAAGTTGACCACTTGATTGCAAATTTTGGCAAAGCTGTGATACATTGTTTTTTTGTCAAATAAAACTGTAGTTAGTTTAACAAATTACAATGTGTAATTGTATAAGTGGCGAATTGTTGTTTAGAAACACTTTCAGCAAATAGTCTAGCGTGAAAAACTTGACATTAGGTATTTGTGCCCGTTTGGAAAAAAGGTACTAATGAAAATGAATATCGTATTATCCCCTTGCATCGAATATCTAAACAGATTATAAATAATCTCAAAGTCGTAACAAACCTGATTGATTGACGGATTCCTCTGCAGTATCTCCTGTATCACCTGTACTTGTTATTACATTGCCTTCAGTCGGATTGTTGGTCATGTCATTAGCTGGTAATGATTGGTCTTGTTCTGAAATATTAAGTGTTTTAAAAGACGTCATTGCTGAAACAGGAAAATCACAAATCAACGTGAGCAATGCACGAATGTCTCACAAACGCAATCTAGTGCATCACAAATGTAATTTATCACTGTAAATAACAATAATTACTTTTTTAAATTAGTGTTGTATATTTTCTACATCAAAAAGCATCCAAAATATATAATATTTTTTGGGGAGAAATCGACTAATGATAGCATACCGAATTTATTGACGGCTACCTGTGCACGAGATCCTGGAGTCTGTTGCGATTGTTCTGAAACATGAACAGTATTCATTGACGTCATTATTTAACTCCTTTTCATGAGGTAAACCATCTGTAAATATATACTAGAGAGAGTCTCTCTCACAAGAACAATGGTCTAACAAATTCATATATCAGTTACTATTGAAAATGAATGATGTATTTTGTCGTGAATCAAAACACAAGCAGGTAAGAAATACCCGTTCAACAACTATATTGTAATAATTACATACCGGATCCGTTGATGGATTCCTCTCCAGTAGATCTTGTATTACTGGTGTTTGGTTTCCCATTATCATCCTCCGGGGTTACAGTTGTCACATTGGCTGGAATCTGTTGTTTTTGTTCTGAGATAAAAACCGTCTTAATTAACTCAATTGATGAACTCCAGTATTGAATATTTAACCATAAAGTGCTGTAGCATTTTCTGCCGAAAGAAAAATCCATTCAGATCACAATAACATGTATTTGCAAATAACTAATATTACAGGTGTATACCTGACTGATTGACGGATTCCTATACAGTATATCCTGTATCACCAGTACTTGTTATCACATTGCCTTCAGTCGGATTGTTGGTCATGTCATAAGCTGGTAATGATGTGTCTTGGTCTGAAATATTAAGTGTTTTAAAAGACGTCAGTGTTGACCTCTCTTCTAAACTGGGAAATCATGAATGAACATGTGCAATGTACATCAAAAATGTAATTCATCAATGTGAAAAACATATTGTTGATCATTGAAAATGACTTGTTAATTTATTAACATCAAAATGCATTCAAAATATGTATTCATTTTTTGGGAGGAAATCAACTTATGATAGCCTACTGGGTTTATTGATGGCTCCCTCTGCAATAGATTCTGGAATCTGTTGCGTTTTTTCTGAAATATATTCCGTATTAACTACCTTTCGAATACATTTTTTTAAAAAGAAGGAATTCTTTTCAGAAAGTGTTTTCCCAAGATTTGAGACTTGTGAAAACCATGGTTACCACATTAGAAAGACACACAAAAGAAAACAAAAAAATACATTATTTTTAACCCAAATTTTTACCCCCGCAGATATTTGTTTTTCTTAAAACCCGTCTTAGATTCAATGTCACCTACTCGGTAACAGAAAAACTCACAAATTAGCATAGGTCATTCCGTTGGATTTTTGACAATATCCACACATGTGCTGAGTACAAAAATTAGACAACATGAAAAGCTAGCTTTTGTTGTGCAGACACAGATTTGTAAATTGCCAAACATATAGTCTCAAACCAAATTTATTTCTTTTCTTGAATATCCCAATTTGAGTGCTGATTGTTGTTTTAATTTTAATACATGTGATATAACAGGGTTAGCCATAATACAAATAATCATTCATGGCCACCGTACGCTACTGTACACTGCTACCAGTGCATTATAACAGGTTACTGTTGAAAATGAATGATGTATTTTTTGTGAATCAAAAACACAAGAAACGGGTTAGAAACATGCTTTTAAAACAATTATATTATTATGATTACATACCGGATTTGTTGATAGATTCCTCTCCAGTAGATCTTGTATTACCGCTGTTTTGTTTCCCATTATCATCCTCCGGAGTTACAACGGTCAAAATTGCTGGAATCTGTTGTTTTTGTCCTGAAATATAAACCGTCTTTATTAACTTAATTGTTGAACTCCAGTCTATATCTGTATTAAATATATTGCCATAAAAAAGTGCTGTTGCATTTTCTGCCGAATGAAAAAATCCATTCAGAACACAATAACATGTATTTGCAAATAACTAATATTACCGATTTATACCTGATTGATTGACGGATTCCTCTACAGTATATCCTGTATCACCAGTACTTGTTATCACATTGCCTTCAGTCTGATTGTTGGTCATTTCATAAGCTGGTACTGATTGGTCTTGTTCTGAAATATTTAGCGTTTAAAAAACTGTCATTGTTGACATCTCATTTAAACTGGAAAATCATGAATAAGCATGTGCAATGTGCTTCAAAAATGTAATTCATCAATGTGAAAAACATATTGTTGATCATTGAAAATGACTTGTTAATTTATTAACATCAAAATGCGTTCAAAATATGAATTCATTTTCTGGGAGGAAATCAACTTATGATAGCCTACTGGGTTTATTGACGGCTCCCTCTGCAATAGATTCTGGAATCTGTTGCGGTTTTTTTTCTGAAATATATTCCGTATTATATATAATTAATTGACGTCAATATCAAACTCCTGTTTATGTGGTATATCATCTGTAAATATACACCAGAGAGGGTACAGTTTTTTAAAAGAAAGATTTTTTTCAGAAAGTGTTTTCCCAAGATTTGAGACTTGTGAAAACCATGGTTACCACATTAGAAAAAAAAAGCATAACCACTGTGGAAGAAGAGTAGAGTAGTCCTAAAAATAAAGGGCATGTCTCAGATAAAGATAGATAGTGGATTCATCCTGCACAACACACCTACATATATATATTTATTAACTACGTTTCGAATACATTTTTTGAAACGAAGGAATTTTTTTCAGAAAGTGTTTTTTCAAGATTTGAGACTTGTGAAAACTTAACCCCCACATAAAAGAAACACAAAAAAAAGCAAAAAAATACATTATTTTTAACCCAAAATTTTAACCCCGCAGATATTTGTTTTTTTCTTAAAACCCGTCTTAGATTCAATGTCACCTACTCGGTAACAGAAAAACTCACAATTTAGCGTAGGTCATTCCGTTGGATTTTTCAAAATATTCACACATGTGCTGAGTACAAAAATTAGATTACATGAAAAGCTGGCTTTTGTTGTGCAGACACAGATTTGTCAATTGCCAAAAATGTAGTCTCAAACCAAATTCATTTCTTTTCTTGAATATCCCAATTTTAGTGCTGATTGTTGTTTTAATTTTAATACATGTGATATAACAGGGTTAGCCATTATACAAATAATCATTCATGGCCACCGTACGCTACTGTACACTGCTACCAGTGCATTATAACAGGTTACTGTTGAAAATGAATGATGTATTTTTTGTGAATCAAAAACACAAGAAACGGGTTAGAAACATGCTTTTAAAGCAATTATATTATATTGATTACATACCGGATTTGTTGATAGATTCCTCTCCAGTAGATCTTGTATTACCGGTGTTTGGTTTCCCATTATCATCCTCCGGGGTTACAACGGTCACATTTGCTGGAATCTGTTGTTTTTGTTCTGAAATATAAACCGTCTTTATAAACTCAATTGTTGAACTCCAGTCTATATTTGTATTAAATATATAACCATAAAAAAAGTGCTGTAGCATTTTATGTCGAATGAAAAAACCATTCAGAACACAATAACATGTATTTGCAAATAACTAATAATACAGATATATACCTGATTGATTGACGTCACCAGTACTTGTTATCACATTGCCTTCAGTCGGATTGTTGGTCATGTCATTAGCTGGTAATGTTTGCTTTTATTGACCGCCCTTCTTAACTTGTTAACTTAAATTGTTGATTATTTAAAATGATTTGTTAATCTCTCTACATCAAAATACATTCAAAAAATGTTATGGGGGAGCGGGGTCAAAGATAACATTAACGGATTAATTGACGGCTTCCTCCGCAATAACATACAACGGTGACGGTGTCTTTCAAAAGAGCAATGATCGATCAAATAAATAAATTTCATGATAATTGATAACTGTGCATTATAACAATTTACTTTCGAACATTATTTATATTTTTTTTGTTGTGAATAAAAACACAAAGACAGGTTAGAATTATTTTTTTTAAATTTTGGAATGTGTAATATGTTTCAAGACTTATCATATTCATTCCCCCATCTTTTCCTCCATATTGTATCATCATTTAATGTGAGATTAAATGAAGTGCTTTTCATTTGCCGGCCCGATGTATAAACAATCTGTTATTATTGTCAACTCTAGCTCCAGCTATTTTTTTCATGTTTTGACAGATCTTCAAAGAAATTTACAATTGGTTTCGTAGTTGGACCCTTTATCTACCCTATTAGACAGAGATTTCTCTTACCATGGACAGGTTTATCCACACTCATACCGGTGTGAGATATCCTTGTCTCACCCTAGGGTTGAGACGGGGGGATTTCTTCTATTCATAACAATGGTATAACGTCACGTCAACGATACAATGACGTCACGTCAACAATCCATTAACGTCATGTTAACCCTGATTTTAGCCTTTAACGTTAACATTAAACTACATAATGATAGAACAGAGTAAAAGAAAAAGAATCATTCACTCCCTTCAGGCAGAGATAGGGGAATCGCAACACCAAGATGGTGAGTGGTTCTATTAATCCACACTTCCGATCAGCGTAAAATATCTTTGTTCTTACCCTAGGGTGAAGATGAGGGGATTCCCCTTTCATGACAGTTACATGACGTCTCGTCAACAATGCAGTCTCAGAAAGTCTGGAAGCTTGTCTGACAGATGTCGGTATCTGGATGAACGCCAACATGCTTAAACTTAATCAGGAAAAGACGGAACTAATCGTCTTTTTTCCCAGAGTGTCAGCAAACAGTGGCTCTCCAGCTCAAGGTTGGTGCCAGAACTATTGAGACTGTTCCAGCTGTTAAAAACCTAGGGGTATACTTTGACAGTTCTCTGAACATGGAGAAACAAGTGAACGCGATTTCCAAATCCTGTTACTACCAGATCAGGAACATCGGCTGTATTCGGCAGTTTCTAACTGCAGATGCATGCAAGATTTTGGTGCATTCACTTGTTACCTCTCGGTTGGATTATGGTAACGCCCTGCTCTGTGGTATATCTGACAAACTAACTAGTCGTCTGCAGAGGGTTCAGAACACTGCAGCACGGCTAGTTACTCGTACTCGAAAGAGAGAGCACATCACACCTGCGCTTTATTCGTTGCACTGGTTACCTGTACGATACAGGTCGCAGTACAAAATTCTGGTATACACATACAAGGCACTGAATGGAACAGCTCCTCAGTACCTACAGGAACTTGTTACCCTGTATCAGCCGTCAAGATCACTGCGGTCGGAGTCAGAATCTTTGTTGTGTGTCCCAAAATCTCGTACTGTGACCTACGGAAACAGATGCTTTGGGAGGGTTTCGGCTACGTTGTGGAATAGCTTACCATCTGCTATTAGGAAGTCGAATACCCTGGCCAAGTTCAAGAGGGACATAAAAACTCACCTCTTCACGTCTGCATTTTAGAATCTTTGCAAAGACGTCATGTAAATACCACCCTTTTATTTGTTCAATTATGTGCACATTGCTTGTTAAATGTATGAAAGTGATTGCAAGCCTTTGTTGTTTGTTTTCACAATTATAACCATTACTATTATCCATATGTTGTAAAGCGCCTTAGAGTAATTTTACAAATTATATAGGGCGCTATATAAATGCTGTATATTATTATTATTATTATTATTGACGTCACGACAAAAATGTATACAAAAGCTGATCACGGAATATAACTCCGAATTGCTGGAAATTATGAAATCACCATTTGATTTTCATGTAACTACCACTTGCATTTGATGTTGGAATAGCATAATCATTCCTCACTTTAGGAGCAAGACCGAAACTGTTCAACCCCCGGGGTAAAACTTCTAAAAATCTGTACCCCAGCAATGCATTTGAGGACCTAACCCCTTTGGTTGAGATTTTTCTGTCTTACCCTACCGTTGAGAAAAATAATGTTTAACACTAGACTTGCTGTTATTGAGCATGCTAGATTGTCTACCAAAATGACAAAATGATACAAAGTAACGGAGATATCAGGCATTCTTATCGTACTGACATCGTTTCATCAAAGTACTTTGGTATAAATCAATTAGTTTGAATAAATACTGTAGTTTAGCATTTATCAACATCATGTTTACCCAGCTACAGAATTTTAGATAACAGTTGAACTATTTTAGACATTTTACAACCCAAACCAATTATGATCTATCGAATGCTTTTTGTTGATCGAAAAATATTATTGCACCTTACTGCCTTGTCACTATGGTCTATCATATCTAAATATGAGTCTATTAACGATATGAGAAAAAGATGTAAATTGTTACAAAATTAATAATAGCATACGAGTTTTGTTGACAGATTCGTCTGTAGCAGATCTTATACCGCCAGTGTCTGTATTTGTTGTCCTATCGTTGTTTTTCGTTACCATTTCGTCATCTGCGTTGTGTCCTTTACGAGGAGGGTCACCCTACATCATCCCTCCTTTACCTTTTACAACGATATGTATATTGTCGTCGTTTGCCATGTCTGGCTGCCATTGGTTGTTGACGGTTTTTCCGTTGTGCGATATCAGTATCGTACCATCAGACGGTAGACTTTCTTTATTGCTCAGTCCGACCTTGGTGCTCTCAAGGACATTATTGTTATCAACCTCAATACTAAAAAAGACGCCTTGAATGGTCACAAACGTGAACTGAAGCAGATGATCGCGTGTGAATCGAATCTACTAGTTTTTGATTGATGCTTTCTGTTTCAATGTTTGATTCCGACTTTAGTATTTATAATGATCACGACCTTAGGCGTACATACCCGTGCATAATGGTTTGCGACAATCCTACTTGTTGTCACTAATTACGTCCTTAAATGTTATTGATCTACATTCAGCAGTCATATTTGATAGCATAGAGGATACATTTGACATTTGGCCTCAAACAGACCTTGAACGTAAATGTTTGGAACTTGATGTTGTTTTCGATATACTGCCTTGTCACTTAACATACATCACTTAATTACATTAAGTTATTTTCATTAAGTCTAGAGTTTGCCTCTGACATTAAATTTGACGTTTTACCTTAATATGAAGTAGACCATACGTGCATGTATTCTTGAGGGGTATACGAAACATTGCTTTGCTATGTTTCATATATCTCTAAAATGTCATTGAGCTTGTATTTTCAGTAAACAGAGTGTGATGGACTAGATAGATATTTTAAAGATGGAAAACTAGCAACTATATGTCCCCGCTCCCCATCTCACCATCACATTTGGTTTCGGGGATCATAAAATGGATGCTTTCAGCACTTGATATAACAACCGAAATTTACCATTGAAAATTCAAATTTGACAAACAATTCATTCCAATTATAATTAAGTTAGTCATATTTGACATCAAACTTCTTACGATTTTGTCCACATTGGTATAACACTTATGAACACCAAAAAAGACGTCACATAGGATATAATTAGTAAACGATGCCCGTAAAATTGATGGATGATGCTCCGAAGACTTTTTAAACAAAGTATACAATGTGTTATCTCAATATCATCTGAAGTAAGTATTTGACTCACAGCATGTCCATCTCACATACATCCCTGATATTGCATTGAGCTATCTTAAACAAGTCAGTAGTTATGATAATAAATTTGACCTTAGTATTCAATACGACCACGACCTTAGTCGTACAGACCCGTAAATTATGCTTCACGAAACACCCAATCGTCACCCTTGTTAAGCCATAAACTTTTTTTGATATACGTTATGCAGTATGATTTGATGGCACGGAGGATAAATTTGACATTTCGCTTCAATAAAACATTGACCTTGAATATATGGAACTTGACGTGGTTTTCGATTGACTGTCTTGCCGATGTTCATATACATTAATACATTTGATTAAGTTCTCTTTAGTGTTTTAAATAGTTTGACCCTGACAATGCATTTGACGTTTGACATTAAAATAAAGTAGACCTTATGGGCACGTATTTTTGAAAGGTATACTGCTTTATTGTTTTGAATATATCCCTAAAATGACTTTGAGCTTTTATATTCAGCTAACAAAGTGTGGTGGCATTGGCATATAATTTGAAGGCACAAAGTGACGGAAACACTAGCAACTATATGCCTTCTCGTCCCCTCTCCCAGCAACATTCTTTTTGTAAAAAAGAGTTAATGGCATAGTAGGAAACGCAAAAAGAATTACATGATCGGTCAAATTCACCAATTCAGTATATATATGTATGATTTTAGGTGATTTTATTTTTGGTTTTGACCATTTTCAGAACACATCTATATATTTTTCCCAATGGTGCTACATTGTATCAGATATGTATGAATGTTTGCAGAATTAAAATTAAAAGTAGTATTTCTTTTACATTATTGAAATAAGATTTCCTAAACTTATTCTTTTAAGTCAGAAAAGTGACTCCAGCTACCCCTTGCCCTAATTTTTTTAAATGAACAGAATACTAATTTTGCATCATTATTTTTGCAGATTTAACGCATGATATAAAAAATACTGCTATTAAACTATTATTGTATTTAATGTATCGCAAAACAGGTTTCTCCCTCTTAAACAGTCGCAAAAATGTGGGGTCTGTATTTTTATTATTTTTTGTCCCATTATTATTTGTGTTATATTTACCTTTTTCGTGGTCAAAAATCAAAATTACTTCAGTTTCACTAAATTTGAAAAAAATACCAATAATATAAAATTTCCACTGCATTGCATCTTCATGATATTGATAGAATGAAGTTGTACAGCAAAAAATAAACTTGCTACAATTAAAAATGACGACACAATGACGAGTTAAATGATCAATCTAGTGTCATAAATGGTAGTTTTGGTCTTCAGTGAAACGCGAGAAATACACATTTACTAAATGGCCACCGAATCGGTCATTGGTCATTTTACAAAAGAACTTATAAACAACAGGCATATATATATTTTTTTAACACATTTTACAATGCTTTTAAAATTGATCATAATTTGTTACATATTACAAATTACAAAAACTCGCTACACGAGATCAAATATAGAAAGAAGTATTACGCACTTGTCTCAGTTTCAACCCAAATGTGACGAACAGTTTTTAACAGAAAGAAACATTTCTATTTTGATAATTTTAGATATCGAACTTGGATCTGGCATATATCATCATTCATTTGAACAGACCATCAAAGTTGCTACTTTTTACAATATGCAATAAAACAAGGGGGACGAGTGACACAGTGGATAACTTGCTCGCCTTTCATCAAGGCGATTTGGGTTCGATTCCCGGATCGGATGTAAAAGGGTAAAGGGTCACCTGCCCGAAAAGTTTAAATGTCGAATGTCGAGCACATCAACATTCAAAATCTTAATTGAATGCCGTATGTCCTTAACCAAAGCCGTAATATAACTAACTAAATCCCATCTGCCACCCCGCAACCCCCTCCTCCCCTTCCCGCCATCTTTATTGTTTTCTTTATGAAAGGTCTGCATGTCGAATGTCGTATTACGAACCACTCAACCGTCAAAATGTTAACGCTGACTGCCGTATGTCGTGCCACGCGATATTCTAATTCCTGAACTATATCCCTTATGTGCCTCCTCCACCACTCCTCTCAATTACGTAAAACATCTCTAAGTTACTTAATGAGAAAAAAATTAACGTCGAATGCCGTGTGTTGAGCAGCGCGACATTCGAATTCATGAGCCACAGTTCTACCATTTCTTACTCCTCCCCCCGCCCCCATCACACACTGTTATTGTCCTTAATGGAATGTTTGAATGTCGAAAGTTGTAGGCGATCCACTGACATGTATGACGTGCACGCAACGTTCTTATTTCTGAGTCATAGACATTATATGTGTTGAATATGTATTTATTACTATATATAATGCATTCCCCTCTGTTTTATGTTTCATAGTTAATAACAAAGCTCAGATCTGCAATTACTGCACTATATAATCACGTTTGTGTATTATAATTTTATGTATTAAGTTAATTTGGTCGTTGTACATGAGGCAGTGATTGCTATTGGTCTCCCACTAACAAATAAAGTTTTAGGTGATGAAGTGAGGGTAGTCAAGCCTATCTATACTAGGGAATTTTTTATGATTATGTTTAAATAGCAATACCTTTTCACTTACAAGTAACAAAACGTTAGAGAATCTTGCGTGTTTATAACACAGGACAGGGCACAGTACCCTGCTATTCTTTCGTAGAGGTTACATTGATCAAATTATATAATGTATGATATTGATATCATCATAATTACCTTCCGAATGTTGTAAGAAAGTTGAGACCAATGAGGACGAATTTACCTCCTATAAAATAGAATTTAAAACGTTCTCAAAAACAGACAAACGATAATTTGAATAATTTCAAAAGCAAACTGGTCGTTTTCTTGCCATTTTAATGTGATATAACTTATGCTTTGCACACCAATATCACATTACCACATAGTGTACATCGTAGAAACTAGTATTCCTGAGCTGAGTACTAGACTTTCAACAGCATAATCTAACTATGCCAAAATGCCGTACTTAAAGGCATTTTGCCTTATTGGTAACTGTTTAAGCAAACGCACCACAGCATTATATCAATAAGATCAAATACAAAGGGCGCGGGGGTTCACATAGACATACCCCTACAACCAGTCCCATTGTGCGCTTCTCTCCTCACAATTGTGCGATTTGGTACAAAATGGTTGTTCAATATTATGGAAGGAAAAACTCCTGAAGGCTCGTATGGAATAAGTAAAGTGTATTTATAAATTTCTCACTATATAATTTAAGATTATATTCTATTTCACAATGCGTGTTACAAAGTATCAATAATACTAATCAAGAAAACTCGTATTAAATAAGGTACGTTGTATAAATGCATTTTTCGTTACAATGACTGAGATTAAGTTTAATTTTACAATGCGTGTTTGACAGTATCACAGTGACCGTTAGACTGTCAAGAATGGATTTGGCTTCCAGGTTACAGAACAGGTATATATATTTTGATGAGTGACCGGTATTTTACCTTGTCTATGGCGCGTGCCTGACACAGAGAGCTGATATATGACACCGTGTGACCACTATGAAAACATAACTGAACGTATGTGTTAGTTGCATTTGATTTGGTCTATAGCTCCCCTTCACCTATATTTTTTCACCTCGACGAGTTAATAGTTCACACATGGCGCGCACATCGTGCACACATCGTGCGCACACCGTGAAACCTTGTGCGATCCCACAAATGAATTAAAATTGAGCCAAAAGCATATACATTATGGATTAAAATCGCTGTTCATAAGCATTCGCTTGTGCTTTTTATGTTTAAAGCAGAAACTATCGTAAACATTATAAATAATTACCTGTACTACTGCAACAGTATGTTCTTTTTTTGGCCGAACTTCAGCTGAAAACACATTTCCACACAATTCAATATTTTAGAATTCGGAAAAAGATTCATCAGTTTGGAATAAATAATAAAGGCTAAGTTTAGTTTTAACACAAACAGATGTTGACAATTTAATTTTTCGAGTTTTTGTCAAGCAAATAGTGCAAATAATCGATGTCTCGACTCTAAAACTCTGAAAACAACTCACTAAGCCACAATATGCCGAATCAGTAAAATCAGCTGTCAAAAATCATAGAGACATTTTGCCCATTTGCGTTCTTATACTGCAGGCACCTCATCATTCAAAATCTTAATTGAATGCCGTATGTCGAGACGTACGAAATTCAAGTTCCTTGACCAAAGCCCTAATATTACTATAATATAACATGTTACCCTTCCGCCCCTTTGATGATGTTAAAATGAGGTCAAAAAGATGACCCCACTGGTGGCCAATGCATCTGTGTTAATCGAATCCCCTTCCTTCTTTACCCAGATGGATTATTTTACATATGATAAACATATTAGCCTATATTAGCATATTTATGCTTATGTTAATTATTTCATTAACTAACACAATTTACCCTTTGATTGTGACGACATACCCGTCTGATTAACTGCTTTAGAACGATCTTTTTCCATGTTTCGGACAGGAGTTTGTTTTTGCTCTTTTTCAATTGTGGCTTGAAGATACTCAGGTGGCAGGTTTGTGGAAGCCCTTATCGGAACGGTTGTAGGTGGTGTTGGCATGCTTCGTAAACGTATTTGGTTTAATAAGGTTGCTGCTAGTCTGTCATAATCCGAAGCTGACTTCTCCCTCAAGGGTAAATTGGCAAATGCAAACTGACTGGAAACTGCTGTAGGTTTGTTCTGGTCTATTGCAGAAACAGGAATAACCTATGATAAAAACAGATGAAAAATGGAGTCTTTAAAATAATACTCTTAAGATTGGCCCTAATCCCTAATATTTTCATGAAAAAATGCAATGAAGACAGATTAGTATTTTAGGACACGATATGATGTTATCATAAGTCAATAATGTCCGTGATTTCACAGATGCATTATACAGACATAGCGTTCACCGATAAAATATGCTATTGACTGTATTCTCTTTGATGCTTTTTATATATATTATTGATATGTTAGGTATTGACAGTCGCACACAAAATGCCATCAAACCCCTCCCCCACAGATAATTTCAAAGCGGCGCTATTAAACCTCAACTGAAATAAAAGAGGAACCTTGCAACGCTAACGTCGAGCGACAGAATATATATTTGGTTTTGGTACCAATTATCGAATGACGAAACAGTTTCTGTTGTCGTTAAACACCACTACGTCAGTGCTCTGTGAGTATTGACCATGCTGCTGGAAGTTTGTTCGTGTGTTCACGGTTGAATTTTACAACGGAGTTTTTCTTTGTTGAAACAATTCTTGCAATGACAAACACAAAATGTATTCTATTCAATGACGACAGTGAGATTAAACATCACAAAAACAGTCACTTACAACTGGACGGATAGCGGATACAAGAACTTTACTCAGGCACATATGTGGAGTCCCATTCTCAGGGAAAAGAACAAACCATTCGTGATTTGCAAGAGGAGGAAAATGTTATTGATGCCATCCCCATTATTCCGTCAGTGCCCCTCTTGAATATCACATCCTCTTTCCACCACAAAGGTTCTGTATGTCTCCAGTATAATGACACATGTGATACTATTCCGAAACAAGTGCGACATTCTCTAATGGTAAATCACAGGCTTTGGTGCCCGTGTGACGCACGCATTTGTCCTGAACACATCATCGGAAACTATTTGCACCCAGATACGGAAGTTGCTATGGTAGATAGAGCATCCTTTCAAACGGAGCTTGATAACGCTATTGGGTCATAACTGATCTTCTTGAGATCATAGATTACATATCTAGAGATGTCAATTCTCCAAAACTACAATTAAAAACATTGTCGGATTAAGGTTGCCATGCATGGACAGAATGGACTCTAAAGCAGTTTTTGGAAATACATGACATGTGCAAACCCGACATCCTTTCAGCTTTTACTGATGGTATGTGCTCCTAAAACTTGCTCCTTTTTTTGGGCAAAATTAAAAACTGATCTGTCTTGGAACCAATTGTCAGTCATGACCAAATTATCAACAGCCCCACTGTCCAGATATTTCCAGAAGCTTATTGAAGTTTTGAATATATAACAAAGTTTCAATATATCATACTGGTACACCAAATGTTCTAACCAACTGCCTAACTTTTGCTGTATGCCCCCTTTGACAACATAGTTTAGTTCAACAGTTGCATCATACTCTACAATTAACCAATCATCTACCGTTATAGTATATTGAAATTATTTTGGGTCAATTATGAAATACTTTTATTAACCTACATGTATAGTCATTGAAGATTTATTTTGACATTGGTCATACAACAAATTGACCTTTAGATGACATATTTATAATTAGCGAATACCGATTTTATTTAAATTTCTACTATCGTCAGTCAACATAATGTGCCAAATAATATCCAAAGTATGTTGGTGTACAATAACCAGAAATATGTCTATCACTTTTGTAAAGATGCGACACAACTAAAAATAAACATAACATACTAAATCTTTATGTTTGTGAAACTGTTTTTATTTTGCAACATCTAGCTTATAGTTGAGATCATAATGAGCAACAGACTTTAATGATGACAATTTTATCAGTTGTGATAATAAATTGGTGCGACGTTATGTTAAGTTATTAAACATGACTATAGTCATAAGATTATTGGATTATATTTAGAAATAGACGTTGCTACAATTTGACATTTATATGACAAACTTACCGGTTCTCAAATGTTCTAAAATTTTCACCATCGTATCTCAACATAATGCATCAAATAATATTAATAGAATTTTGGTGAACCATAACCGGAAATTGATGTGTCACTTCCGTAAAATATTGACATAGCAAAAAAGTGTATGAAAATACCGCCATTTTTAGAGTTCATGATTGCAGAACTTTTTTACTATGCAATTTGCTTTTACATATTTGAGTTCATAATTTGCAGCAGATCCTACTTTCAGCAATATAATATTATTTGATAGCGTAATATTTTGTTTTGATAGTTATTTGGACATAAAAGTAAACCCTGTCGTACACCTTTGGAGGAGGCACTAAATAGGTCATAGAACAGACCCCGGGGACCTTTTTAATTTAAAAACAAAATATATCATGTGTCGTGTCTAGGTGAGCTACAAACATGATCCCAGTTATGGTTAAATTGCTTTGTGGGCAAAATTCTTTTGTTACTGTAACAGGTCCTTTTTGAAGAAATGACTATTTTGTCGTGTAGGGTTATCTAGACATGTTAGTGGTAATGGACCCATATCAAGTACTGTCAGTTTGGTATGTCGTTTAGCGTTCCAGTGTAGGGTTTCGTTAAAAAGAACGCTGAAACAGAATATCTAACAGTGTCCAACTCGTGAAAGATATCAGAATATTAGCCACAATATACAATTTTTTTTAATTTGTTTTGAAGACAGTTATATTTCCTCTATTATAATTAATATATATAATTTGTTATGATGATCGCTGTGTGCAAACGAAAGAAACCACCAACGCTAAAGCGGAAGCAAAAAATATGTTTAACTGAAGATGCATTTCAATATTTTTTAGGAATTTCAATTTTATTCTCAAGAGTACCGCAAACAAAATTGGAAAACCTTCTTATGTCAGTAGGTTGTTTAAACATTGCACTTCTTATGTCGAAAATCTTACCTGCATCTGACGCGTAAAAACGCCTTACACAGCTCTATAGTAAAAACTAACTTTTAATTGTATTACAATTATGGCTATTGCAAATGCACAACGAAAGTAACCGTAACAAGTTGACCTCAGCACTAACGTTAAAGCAAAAATAAAAGGTTGGTGTAAACTTGTAACCGGATTATATTCTGTAAGAGAATTCTAATTTAGGCATAATTTGTGCCAAAAATGATTAAACTTGTATCTTTATATCTTGTCATATATTGTATATGTACATGTTTCTTTGTTTTCTTGTTTTGTTCTTGGTAAGCCCCGGAAGACTTTATACATGAAATTATCATTGTTTAAACCTTGGATGCCACTGATGATTTCTAAACTGTTTTAAATAATCTATTTTGAAGGTTAATTTAAATAGAATAGTTGTTAGAATTAAGTACAACACACTTACCTGCTGTCCTGAAATGTCTGCAAACGTGCTATTTTCCTTCTTGTACATGACCTGCTTCCTTCCTATAGCTATACATATACAATCATAGTAAATACGTGATCGAAAAATCATTATAATTAATGTTTTCCTTGAAAATTTGGTTCAAATTTAAAGGAATTCATGCATTACATTGGTGTCAGTTGGGGATGAATAGTCTTATTGGGCCAGTAATAGCTACTCCAGAAATTGAAATACTATTTATTTTGTTTGGCTATCTACATCGACCAACTATGTTTTAAACAGGCGACTTTATCTCTCCTCATGCTTTACATAACAAGGTGACTGGCTCTACTTGTAAACTGTGATGCATGTGACACTATTGAATATTCAACCGATCTAATTTGTGAGATAAAGTCCCACCATCTATTACTATTGCAATGTATATATTGAACCGGATATATATAGATAAATCGGAAGTATTCAGCTTGTAAAGGAATTAAATTATTGTTTAACTAAATAGTGTTAGAAATATATATACTGTAAATGAAATGTAAATGCTATGAAGTATTACACTTTAAATGTGTTATATATGACATAATTAAATGAGAAGACAGTGCAGCCCTATTGCTAAGTAAATAATGTACTTGTATACAGTAACTGACTGAATCATGTGGAAGTGTCATGTAGAAAATGACCAATATACTAGGTAGTTGAATGAGTAAACATTGCATTTATATAGAGATGCTGACTACAGCATGTTGTTGTTTTATATAAATAATGATGATATGATATGTAAGACCAGTCATGGACACTGGCTCGACTGTACAATCAATTATTGTTGCACTAAATGTATCTTACATTTGTACTTGTACTAATGTTTTTTTTCTTCAAATAACGGATGTCTTTACTGACTACAGGTGATATCTACTAAGCCAGATGAAAGCAGTTTCAAGCTTTGTTACAGGCAAAGCTATTACAATTTCCGTATACAGATACAATACCTATCTTTTATAAGCTATCACAATTAAATTATTGATTGTTTCTTCCTTTTACTTATAACACTCTGGTTTATCCATTTCTTATATTTCTACCAGTGAAATGTCAGGAATTATACATTAATGCAAACGTATAACTTTCCTGCTGTGAAGCATATGTTCATGTGTGAGGATATCACTTTTAGTATTGTCCAATCAGAGCATAAAATTTCATTTTCAGGTTTATATGAACCGATGACAGAATAAGTGGTTGCCTTGGTACAACTTTTCAACGTACAGTTTATCATCTACATATTTACAACATTTATATAATTTTAGTTCAACAATCTTAAAAGATGATAGCAGCAAACAGCATTATTTCATTTTGGTACCATTCAGAATTGCGCTCTGCCTTTTTGTTAAGCATGTCGTCGTAAGAACTTGGCGTTTAATACTAATACCGAGCTTTTTTGATGCAGTAATATTTGTCGTGTAACTATAAAAATGTTATAAATTGCAGGAGTGAAGATATTGATATATTCTATCACCCCTACATGTTGGAGATCAAGAAAAGAATACACATAACATGCTTTTTGTTGATCGAAAATTATCATTGCATCTTCCTGCCTTGTCACGTCCCTATGTCTGTTATATCTAAATATAAGTCTGTTAAAGATATGAGAAAAATGTGTAAACTGTAATAAAATTTCTAATAACATACGAGTTTTGTTGACGGATTCGTCTGTAGCAGATCTTGTACTGCGAGTGTGTGTTATCCCACTATCTTCCTTCGGGTGTGTAGTCATCACATTAGCTTGAATATTTTGTTTTTGTTCTGAAAAATATATCATATTAATGGAAATCCAATTGGGGAATAAGTTTTCTATCTTATCATTCAGCACAGTTGTTTACATTATGTAACATCAACATTGTTTGTTTCATTGCATCCAATTAGATAGTTATATAAGATTAAACATACGATATGTGACTAAAATAATACAATACATGTACCTGATTTATTGACGTATTTTTCTGTATGAGACGCCGTGTCATCTGTATTTTGTATCCTATCTTCGTTTTTCGTTTCTGTTTTGTCATCTGCATGGTGTCCTTCATCAGGAGGGTCTCCCTGCATCATTCCTCCTTTACCTTTCACAACGATGTGTATGTTTTCGTCGTTAGCCATGTGTGGCTGCCATTGGTTGTTGACTGTTTTTCCGTTGTGCGATATCAGTATCGTACCGTCAGAGGGTAGACTTTCTTTATTACTCAGTCCGACCTTGATGCTCTCTAGGACGTTATTGTTATCAACCTCGATACTAAAAAGACGTTTTGAATGGTCATAAACGTGAACTGTAGCAGATGCTATCGAACCTACTAGTGTTTGATTGATGTTTTCTGTTTCAATGTTTGATTTCGATGTACTTTTTAATATAGAAGCCTTCCGAGTAAAGCATATTGGAACGTTTGACAGATCGTCAACATAACTGTCCGAATTGGATTTGCTTCTTTTGTGCCTTTTAGAGACAGAGTTTCCTATTTCGGATGGATACGTTGAATGCTAAAAAAAAGTCATACAGAAAAAAAAAATATCTCAGCAATTCATCTTCAATCAGATTACTTTATCAAAACAAGAATTGCAAGTAACAAGAACATTTACATAAAGAAAATGACTGCTTTTGTACTTCTTACTAACAACCTTCAGTTTATAGTGCTGCTACCAAAGTAATACCACTAGACAGAATGTATCTGCCCGAATGAAGCTGAACTTAAATTGTATGGGATATTAACACCAAAAGCAAACAGTTTAGTTCAAACTCAATCTAAAAAGTCCAATTAATACACTTTACTGACCGTTATTTTCGTATGACCTGTGCTTTTCTTTCTGCATTTTCGTCGTTTTGCTCGGACATTTTTTCTTGATTTTGGTGAAGACAGCTGAGAAACACGATTCATATCTTTCCATGGTTTCCTCTTCAGCTGCTTTTGCTTTGGCGCCTGTTGGATGTACTGATAGAGGACATCACTCTTAGGTCGATGACATCTGTAGTCTGTGTACGTATCGTATCCCCGTAAAGCAAATACATTATTATTTACCTGTTGGTTACAGGTTGGTGTTGTTGTTCGCCTTGGTTTTTTGGGCTTGTTGTTTGTTCTTGTCCATCTCGTTATTCTCAGTGCGTTTCCGTTAATGCAGATTCTCTATAACACAATGACTATGTGTAAAGATCACACAATAGTGGGAGTTCTATTTTGGTTTCATAAGATGAACCTTCCATGGATTGAATGGTGATGGAACTAGTTAAGCAAACATCCGGACTGATTTTAAAAAGACAAGTGTTTTATAGAGGAAAATTAGTATCTAAAAGACAATAAGATTTTGGGTTGAAATGGAAATTGCTTAACAACAAGAACAAACTACAATTTAAGAAAATCATTAATCCTGTGACAGGATGTAAGCGTGGGCATTTAGATGTACTTACGTCATTCAGACTCAATACAAAATCAGCAGATGTTTCATCTTGAAGGGAAACAAAACCATACCCCTACAACAATCATCAGAAACGCAATAAGAAAAAAAGAGAACACCGAAGTGTAAACAAAACCGCAATTTAAAAAAAATGATGAAAAAGATAAACAAAGGAAATATAAAGTCGGTGACCCAACAGAAAGTCTATATGGGATATGGATTTGCTGATAGAAGAAACATTAACGAGGAAAAGATTTCCAAGATTGATTAAAAAATATATCTTTTGACTCCTTAAAATCATCAATCTATGAAGTCCACTTCTGGAATATACGTCTCCACAATATCACAACAGAGCTATATAATTGGTACCAAAATTGGCGATAACAATACATAACAATGGTTTGGCTGTGCAACTAGCAACAGCCGGCGATAAATCATATTTTAGTAGTTCGGAATCCAGAAGATTGATTTTGTTGGTGGGCTATCATGTTCACAAGATTGTTACAAAGTTCATAGCACTGTTACTGGTACGATTTTCGAGAAATACTGTTTAAACGTATAAATTATCGTATCCAACACTGTACATTTTGTTCATGCTAAGTTGTTAACTGATTTAAAGTCGTCTCCCAATTTCCCTGTTTTTCATTATATATTTCGGAACACTTCAACTGTGGATTGTTATTAATTAGACTTTTAGTAAATTGATGAGTATATTTACGCTACAGTAATAAATAATGAAAGAAAATGTTACTGTGAATCCACATACTCTCGCACGCATACGCATACGCACTAACCGCTTCAAATTGCAACAACAGAGTATTTACCTTTTCCTTTTGTATCCAAATGTTTCTCACTTGAGCAACTGAAAGAAAGTACAAAGTGATGATTTTTTTTCTCCAGAAATACTTTTTCAAAGCTATAGCCAATTCAAAAATATCTATTTGGAAGATATACCGTATTACATTCTGATTATTGATTGTCTTAAGAACGTTTCTTCTCTTCTCTTTCTGTACAATTATAAGCACACTTTGTACATTGTTCTCCTGAGGGAACATGATAAAAGTAATTACATCGTACATTACTGTACTGACAAGATTTTCTGTCCCCTTCGTTCTGACCATTTTGAATACAAAGATTTTTTTACACAAAACTGTATCAACCTTTTTGATAAATACGCAATTTGCATAAAAGTATAACATAACTTGAGTCTGATTATAAGCCCCATGAACTACCTGTTTCAATATCTTTCCTGATACGCAGAGTAGCAGTTTCCCAGTCAAGCCCTTTCGGTATTCCAGAAATAAAGATCGAAGGCATATTTTTTTCTGTACGTATAGAAACAAATTCGTATTAAAGATAGCACAATTTGAATAGTCTCCACTTAATATGATATTTTTGATGTTAGATTAAGACATCATGTATTAATAATAAATAATGTAAACAAATTACGGTGTCCTTCCGTGGAGGATTATTTGACATTTTCATACCTGGATGCGTAATATATCATCTGATTAATAGCCGCAAAAGCATGATCTATCCATTTATCGAAGTATTTTATCTGTGCACACTTTTTTCTATCATAAGTAGATCACTTGACATGTTCAGCTGATAATATAAACCTGATATTCGATGAACATTTACGTATCAACAAACATGATAAATACAACCATTACGGCTGTAAGTCCGTAGTAAAACCCCTGTCAAGGTTGAAGTAATAGTAACGAACAGTGAGAACACTAAGCAATGTAATGGTTCTTAGCTCCAGAACACGTCCTTGATACTGATGCTCAGTGTGTCAATATTCGCTCGAGTGATCATCATATAAGCATGGCAACCATACGATTGAAACTCGGTTAGGTTTGATTCATGAATGCCAAAATGACGTCTAAATTGCAATAATTCGTAAGCAATGTCTGTATAATTGATGGATGATGCTCCCAAACATTTCCGGAAAATTTTAAAAGTTTGTTATCTCAATATGATCCGAAGTGATCCTTATGAGTATTTGACACACATAATTTCCATTTCACATACATTGCTTCAATTGCATTGAGCTACCTGTAGCAAGTCAGAAGTTATGATTATATAGTTGACTTTAGTATTTATAATGATCACGACCTTAGGCGTACATACCCGTGCATTATGGTTTGCTCTGATAATCTGATAAAGAAGACGTTAGCAGCCTTGTCCAACATTTTACTCGGTTAAGATGCTAAAGGCTAAGAATATGTTCCTCTATACTGCATATTAAAGTCTAACACGTGGATATATATATCTGAAGAATCTCCTGAAGAAGTACTTAAGACGTGTTGTTGAGAATGTTTTCTTTACATATTATATATAGAAAGGTTCCCGAACGAGTGATGGTTGGTTATCATGAAAATCGAATTCGAGTTAGTTAATTTTTGAATTGTAAAAAGACACGATGTTTACCGAGTGTCTTTTACAATTAGAAATTTTACTAACGAGATTTATATCAATATGATAACCTACCATCACGAGTTTGGGGTCGTATTTCTCCCATAACGTTCATATTTTAACTGGAAAGCCATAAGTTTCCCTTGAAAATACACTATGTCGGCTTCCGATGGGGGGAAGCAATTGCCGTGCATCATGACGTCACAATGGACGATGACGCCGCAAAGCATTGTGACGTGACGTCATAAATAAAATATGACTAATGAAATCACGTCCAGGGTGTTACCCACTAGTGGGTAACCAAAAAATGTTTACCAGCTCCTAGCAGGTTTTTTCAATGAATCGGGAGTGAGAAAACCTATAGTGATTGTTGGAGAAATTTATATATATGATATGCGTTTACGTAATGTACGTCTTACATATATGACATACTCTTTACATCCCTGACCGACATTCTGACCAGTGTCCTGCGTTCATGTCAGCGACATTCCTGTACTTTTTTTTATCCTGAAGTGCGCCATTGTTCGCTCTTCAGATCGCCTTTTTAGCATTGATCGTGTTTCCAAGAATAAGTCAGGTCTGTTACTTGCATACTTTGCGAGGGTAAGCACAGTATACAGGTGGTGCCCGTCTTGTTTTTTTTATATTTGTTGCTGATTAAAATATCCGTATCACAATCAACTAAATCGTGTCCATCTTTGATTATCAATCCCCGACGAGATTCAGATAAGCAAGTCCGAGTTAAGAGATTACAATGTAACGTGGACAAACTCCACAAGATATAGCGTAACCTATACAGAGACCAAATTACCGAGCATTTTTTTCAGACCCAATATAAGATCTTCTAGCTCTATCTTTCATGATAATGATGAACTTTGTTGTAATTTTAAATGACAATATATTTACATACATATAAATGCCGCAATTGTTTCATGACAGGACTCAGTCTTAAGAGGTGGTTTACAATTGAAACTCCGATATGATAGTATTAATCGAAGCCGTGAAAAAAGATCCAACATTTCAACATATGTTTATGTAAAAAATATTGATACATTTCAGAACAGTTTTATATTAAAGAGTTTTTCCTCACAAATATATCTGAAAATCTGAAACAAATGATGTTGGACCCATAACGATAATTCTTGATTAAAAGACATAAATGTTCCTTTAAATTTCTATGAGGGAGTAATGCTTTAAGAACTCGCACAGTAAGCTAAGGGAGACTAAGGGACAATAGATAAGTTGTCGTGTCATTAAAGACGAACTATACCTCTATATACAAAAGACTTGTTTATCAATACAAGACATTTGTATCACTATACCAAATAAATACTGCAGTGTCACAATTGATATATTCGTGTGTAACATATAGAATGATTTCACTCTACGGGCTGTGTGTCATCAGCTTGAGGTAAAAAATAAATAAATAGCGATAGCAGAGGATCAACTGTACAATCACCACATGTATTTCTATATGCATAGGATAACAAACATTCGTAAATTGAGGATCGAGATAAACTAGACTACTGTAGGGACACGTACGTCTTATTAGTTCTACACTATGTTCCTACTTATCAATGGGGTAAGCAGTCGCTTTGTAAGAATGTTGATCCAATATGGCTACATCTAGCGCTATGACAGGAGCTAACTAATTGCATTGTTCGCTGAATACCTATTATGTAAAAATAGGATATTTTGGAATACAACAAGCGGATTGAGACAAATACTTTGAATGTCGAGCATTCAAATCCGTTGTAAAAGTACCAGATACAAATGCGTCTACAACGGAACGAACTGTGACGGATGACTGAGTGGCAATGTAACAGAGACAGCCAATGTGTGGTGAATTGAGTGTGGTGAGGTATTGTGTACAGATTGCCGTGTTGCCCACAAGGAAAGAAACTCACGAAGTCATCTACCTCGACGTTGCTAGCTAAAGCGTTCTGGCTTACAGACGTTAAAACGAGCAATGTACAAACCACCCGGGAACAAATGTTAGAATTATTCTGTCTGAAACACAGGGAACTTTGTTGTGCTCTCTGTGTGCTAACTCTTCATAACGGAGGCAGAAAGGTCGGGTCGCTTGATGAATTTACAAAGTGAGTAGAAAAGCACAAGGACACAACACCCTTTATCCAAGAGCTCAAGAAAACATTGATATATTATGTCCAAAATAAACGCTCAAATCAATGCAAGAGACGAATCCCCTCAAAAGTACGAAAAGAAACTCGAAGGATACGGATCAATTTCGAAAACTGTTTCGATGTCTCCACAAAATTTAGAGATCGCGCATCACCTAGTCTGTATGTATTCCTCATACAGAAACAAATGAAAATTCAACTTACTGCTCATGTACACGAAACAAACATAATGATAAAATACTTTAAAAAAAGAGAATAAAAGCTGGAACCAGAGGATGCAGTAATAAAAAACATCCAACTCTGTCCTTTCTGTAGAACACATCATAAAAAAGAACTCAATCTTCACTTGTACAGAATGCCGTGGCTTAAATAGAGGAAAACATCGAAACCAGATGTGTCGTTTTTGCTGGATGCCGTGTCATCCTCCGACATACTAGGATCCCTAGGTATAAGCCGTCCTGTGGAGGCTGTAGGAGGTTCTTGAATGTGTAGTAAACGAATCCGGCGGGACAATCATTCTCGATGGCCATTTACTGCTGGCTTATCAACAGCGGACAAATCGTGATGTATGACAACAAATACGACGTCATCAACAAACATCAGTTTAAGATCTGCCAAACCAATGCCGCTTACAGTGACAAACACAAGGTAGTGCCAGTGAGGAGTTATGCAAGCATACAGCAGATTACTATTATCAGGATAATGCCAAAGTAATACGCTTTAGGATTTACAGAACGGAAATATTTTGATATCTTAGTGGACTGAAAGGTCATGACTTTTTCCTTGACCAAAATGACATAAAAAAATCTATGTTACAAACAACACATCAGCGGACATGCTATAAGTGACGTAATCCTTCCCTGTGGTGTTTGAAATTTTTGAATAAGTGAGAAACAATAACAAGAAACATCACAGATTACAGTACCGAACGAACATGTTGTATCCCTGCTTCGTGATAGACATACAGTTTACAGAAAAGTTCCTTGCGTTCCTTTCGTTGATAGAATGACTAAAATGTTTATATTTTAAACGCGTTGTAAACATTTTCCATTTATTGTGTAAAATCGTGGTCAAATGAAAACTGATGTTTCAATTATCCGTGGCAACATGACAAGAAACACAAAGATTATACATGCACTGTCACTCCCAGATAGCTGTATCAGTATTTTGTGACAACGTTAGCTCTTCCACAAGTTGATTTAAATAAGTAATGGGCGTCATTTACTCATAGATGCTTACCCGTCTTAAGAACATACATTCTTTTAGGATCACATACCAGCCTCAGGGAAATATATGTTAACTAATAAGTTATATTTCTTCAGGAAGATGAGATGTTGTTACCTATTGTACATGTGATTGTAATACGACTGTTGATTAACATATTTGAATATTACCAACTATTACGAGCGTTTACGGCTACTGTGTTACATTTTTGTCAATTTAAGATACTCATACACTAGATCAAACACATGACACATACTCATAGGAACCAATATTCCTTTACCGTCTTCACTTAAAAAAATCTTAATTTTCTTTCGTTGTAAGCATGCTTGAAATGTTTATTTCTTGAAAGTTTTCCTTATTATCTTCATGCACTTGATTCACTTAATTCAATGTCTTCCAAGCAGATGAAACTTAAGTACACCCCTGGTTAATGTATATACAACACTTTAGATACCTTCCTTTACACTGGCAAATAGTCATTGTATAGCCCGTGAATCGTTGTATCATCACTGATAATGGTACAGTTTATATGAAA